TTTTCTCCCCCCCCCCCCCCCCCCCCCCCCCCCCCACAAAAAACCCAAACATAACTTTTCATCCTATCCTGATCCTCCATATCAATATCAAAGAAGAGAGGAATATGCTAATTCTTCAAAAAAACAGGCACCCCACGCTATGAATCCATGTTATCGATCTTTATGTCCTTACCTTAACCCCCCCTCCCCCCTACATTCATCTCACTATCTTGATTCAATCCCCCCTTCTTTCTTTTTAGCGTTTATTATTTAATTTAATCCCAGGAATGATTTTCATGATTTCATGATTCATGATATATCTACATAGAAGCTAAGGATTTGCGGGTTTGGGAAGGATAGGGAAAAGGATAAAGGGGGTAGGGACTCGGAAGTCTTGTGGTTTTATTTATTTTTATTTGTTTTTATGATCTTGATATTATTGGAAAGAAATTGGGGGGAAGTGAGGGAGAAAGGAAAGGAAAGGATGGAAATAAGGGAGGAGTGAGGGAAGGGGTTATGAAAATAAATAAATACATGGATATACGATTCCTACCTACCTATTTATCTTACCTATCTTAACAGATAGATAACCAATCAATCAATGCCATACATTTATTCTATCAATTGATGAAGAGAGAAGAGATGGAAGTATGCACTTTCTTTCTTTAGGTACTTATCCACCTTTCCATTCCATTCCATTCCCACCTTTCTTCTATTCTCTACCTCCCTTCCACCTCTTTTCATCTAATGTGATATATATGATATGTATATATTCCATCTCGATTATCTTCCTTCTTCTTCATATCCCCCCCTGTGCATGCTATACCCACTACCGCACACCAAGAAAAAAAAGAAAAAAAAACAAAAAGGCAGGAATGATAGATATTGTTCCTGCTAGATAGATAGACAGATAGATAGAATAACCAGCATACCCGTTTTATCCCCCGAAGCGCCTTGAAGAAAAAAAGGAAGAACCGCTGACTATGATTAATCCCCTGAATGCACCGTCCTGAAAAAAGAGAGTAAAAACAGGAAAAAAGAAACCGACGCTATGCAGTAAGCAAATGAAGCGGGAAGGGGGGAGGGGCTCGACTTTCTGAGTCTCTATGGATAGATGGGGGGTATCTCGAAATCAGCCGCCCTCCCCCTCCCCCTTGCCCTCCCCAGCATCCGGTTTCCTCGCCACCAGCACCTTAAGCTTAACGCCAAAGCCATGTGCGCGGTCGGCATCCGTCGCGATCTTCCAGACGTCGCGCGTGACAGCGTCGCAGATGTTGCGCACCTCGTCGACGCTCCAGCCCAGCTGCTCCGTCAGGACGCGCAGGCTGACGGCCTCCAGGCCCAGGAGCATGGTGACCAGGGAGTGCTTGCCGTTCTTCTGGGCCTGGGCGTCGTCGGGCCAGACGCCCATGGGGATGTCGTAGGTCGTGCAGCGCACGTCGACGAAGCCGAGGCCTGCGAGGCTCGCGGGCTCGAGGTGCGTGGTGGTGCGGGGGCGGCCCGCGAGCCGGCAGCCTTCGACGATGGAGCTGAGGAAGCGCGGCACGGCTGACGTCGAGCTGGGGAAGTATTGGAGGAGCGTGGCGTGGTCGTCGAAGTCGATCACTTCGATCCAGCCGCCCGGCTTGAGGTGCTTGAAGGTCTGGCGGTAGATGTGGTCCCAGGAGGTGAAGGCGCCGCACATGTAGCGGAAGTGGATGAAGTCGAACTCGTCGTCGGCCCACGTCCAGCCGTGCTCCTCCTCGGCGTCGTCGATCTCGAAGAAGACGTTGAGCGGCGCTGCCCCGGGCTGGATCTTGGCGATGTCGGTGCCAATGACTTCGGTCTCGGGGTACTCGTCGCCCATGGCCATGGCCCACTCGCCGGTCCCGGTGCCGATGTCGAGGATCTTCTTGGGGTTGGTGAGGGGGACGGTGGTCAGCCGGTGGCCGAACAGGCTGTAATAAACCCCGTTCAGCATCTGCAATCGGGTCTGCTCATCCTCGTCGTTGGGCATATAGTAGTCCTTGCAATATCGGCGGCCGTGCAGCTCCGTATAGACCACATTGGAGGCGTATATAGAGCGCGTGGAGTTTCTAGGGGTGTCCAGGTTAGCGAAGCTCTGGAAGGCTCAACCCAATTTTATACAGTAGGATCCAACTTACAAGGTATCATTGTCGGCGCGGCGGTGATGGAAGATGGTTCTCGCTCTGCGATAGGATTGCCCGTCGTCAAGCGTATGCGTATCGGCATCGTCTGGGGAACTGCTGTCCATGTCGACAACGACAGACGGGATCTCCACGGTGGGCGCCGGCGAGGGGTCACTCGCAAGATTGCGCTCCCGTGAACTCTGGCCCTCTGCCATGAGGCGCAAAACTCGGGGAGCGCACGATGGGACCGTGGGGGGGGGGGGCACGTTTCTTTATGGCACAGACTTCACAGAGGGAGGAAACGGTGGAGCGCTGGACGGTTCATGACAAATAAGATTGACTGCAGCTGGCTGGCGCTCTTCGGGGAGGGGGAACATGAGAAAGACGGAGGAGGGCGAAGAGAAGGGCTCTGGCGCGCTGTGATTGGCAACGATTAGTTTATAAGATAGTTGCCACGGTAGAGAAGAGGGTTAGTTAGTGGAGAGGGGAGACCGACGGCACATACGATGCGATGCGGTTCCCAAGGGCCAAAGGACATGCCGCAGAACCGCAGGATGCGAGGAGAGTATCGTCGAGTCGAGCAGTAAGTTCAACCGCCGTCGCAGCACAGCACATAAGTTCGGCGCAGACGAGGCGGGCCGATCCCTTGGGCGGGTCGTCCAGTTCCAGCGACCGAACGGTGGTGCCAGGGTTGACCAGAGCCATGGAGTTGGTGCCAGGGCCTAGCAGAGAACCGGCGAGGGGACCAGGGATGCGCGGAGAAAGCTGGGAATTGGCAAATCGAAGGGGGGCAAAGGGTGGTACTTGTGGTGGATGTATAGAGGAAGTATTCTCTACCTAGGTTCTATATCACAAAGTTGCAGATTTGCCAGTTACCATTTAGAGAGAAACACAAGTGACCAGCTACGAGTTGCAGGTTCCCAACTGCAAGTGAGAGATGACGAATTACAAATTACGAAGCACAAATTACAAAGCATAAAGCATAAAACATAAAGCACAAAGCTACAAGTTCCCATCAACTTCCCGACTTATCACTAAGGTAGTACTTGATCAACCGTCTTGTCAAAGTTGTCAACCACCCGTATATAGAGAGCCTCGGCTCAAGCGGCCTCAACCCCATCGGGACGACCAGTTCAGTAATAGCAGTGATTACAGTGGCAGATGCCATCACCATAGCCTAACCTCTCCAAGGCTGTATTTTGTAACAAGTTATCACCTCTCCAACTCCCTTAATATCCTTCTTAGTGCTTTCTACCTTGCTCCACCGTTCACTGCTTAAAGCTCAACTCGCCCACTCTGCTACGGTGCTTTACTTGCTGCTGTGCGACGTGCAGAGTTACCTTAAAATGTCCTTACCTTAAGATACCTTCCTTACCTTAGAACCCCTCTCTTCAACGACCCCTTACCTCCCACATACCCAAGTACATAAGTACCTACCTATGTACCTAAGTACATCCTCCATACATCCCCCCTCCGTACCTCTCTCTCTCTCTCTCCATCAAACCCACCCAGCCAGCCAACCAACCAACCACCATCCCTCTTCGCGGTATGGGAACTTGAAGGTTGGGAGGGGGGCGGGGCGGGGACCCGGGATAGCGGTGGGTGGGTGGGCGGTGGGAGGGGAAGGGAGGGGAGGGGAGGGGAGGGGATGGGATGAGATGGGAGTGGATGACTCGTGTATTTTTTATTTTGGAAATCCCACCCGCCGCTAGCCAGGTCTTGATTATCTGCATATGCTACCCTTCCCTTACCTACCTACGTCCCTTACGTCCCATCGCTAACGTTTGGGTTTTCGGTGGTAGCGGTTTTCGGTGGTAACCACTTAAAAGGGAGGGAGGCGGGTTTTATGGAGGTCCGATTGTAAGGTAAGGTAAGGTATAGTGGTGACAGGGGTGTGGCTAGAGTGCGAGTGCGCTGCGATCGGTGGTGGTTGGTGGTTGGTGGTGGGGGGAGCGGGATTTGGAATTGTACCACGTGGGAGGGGAAAATGAAGAGTTCAAAGTGTCGACGTGCTTAAGAAGAATTACGAATTAGGAATCATGAAAGATTTGGAAGTATGGGTCAAAGGCTGCACGACAGTGGAAAATTCAAGCTCGCAGGCTTCATTCGTTCCTATTTTCTTTTTCCCTCCTTGCTTGAGCCCGGCTATTAAATCCATCCATCCCTCCCCTGAGCGACATCTGTAGGTACCTTGTTTCGTGCCCGCAGCATCGCATGTACGGTACGAAGCAGCAGTGGCAGCATGGGCCACCTGGCCAGCATTCCTTGCTTTGTGAACCCCGTTCCGTTCCGCCTTTTAAGTAAGCACCCTGACCAACACGCCCCCTTCAATACCCCCCCCTAAGCCTGCGTCGGTAGTCCATCGATTTTCCTCTTCTTAGCTAATGTCATCTGGTCATCGTGGTCCACGACCATGTCGCCCTGGAGATCCTCCAGCGGCTCCTCGCTCGCAATCACCTCCGTCCCGGCAACCGTGGGGAAGGGCGTGAGCACCTTGCTGATGTCCCCCCACCATCTCTCTCCGAACTTTCGGTACCAGTCAACCGTGATGGCCAGCCCATCCGCGAAACTAGTCTTCTGCTCCCAGCCCAGCTGTCGGAGTTTCGTTCCGTCCACCGCGTATCGGTGGTCGTTGAATGGGCGGTCCTTGGTGTGCTTGACCCACTTGTGGAGCTCTGCTTGCGTCTCGTGGGGGATGTTCAAGTAGGTGAGGAGCTTCGAGCATAATGTTAAATTCGAGATCTCATCATATGAGCCGACGTTGTAGATCTGGTCCATCGTGCCCTTGTGGAGGATCGTGTCAAACGCATCCGCTGCGTCGCCTGCAAAGAGGTATCGTCGTGTGGGAGATCCGTCCCCGTGCAGGACGACAGGTTGTCCGCGTTGCAGCAGACAGCTGAACTTGGGGATAATTTCTGGCGACCAGTTAGCACTTACTCTCCTGCTCAAGGGCAGTCCTCGACTCACTCTCGGGGTACTGGTGCGGGCCATAGACATTGTTGCTCCGCACAATGATCACAGGCAATTTGAAACTCTTCTGATACGAGTGGACAAGCATTTCTGCTGCCGCCTTGCTCGCCGCGTATGGGTTGGTTGGTGCCAGGATGCTGGTCTCGAGCAGATCATCTGCGTCATCCCTGACCTCGCCATAGACCTCATCTGTCGAGATGTGAATGAACTTCTTGATCCCGACCTTCTTTGCGCTCTCCAGAAGGACGTGGGTACCGTAGACATTGGTGTGTGTGAAGGCATACGAGTTACCGAAACTCAAATCGACGTGGGATTGCGCGGCAAAGTGGAAGATGGTATCAATATTGTATCGCTGTAGGCAGTCCATCACCTCGGAGGGGTTTGTGATGTCGCCATGGTAGAAGTTGAAGTTGCGTTTGTCGTTGAGGACTCGAGTATTGTTCAGCGAGGAACAGTAGTCGAGCTTGTCGAAGGAAACGATATTGTATGCGTCGGGATAGGTCAGGGTAAGGTGTCGCACCAGCCAGCAAGCACTGTGACCGTTAGATACGTTGTGTGTATCATTGCGCCGGCGGGTCTTACATGAATCCTGCCCCGCCAGTGATCATGATGTTCTTGACATCAGGCAGTGGTTCGAATTTCGTGCTCCCGATCAACACGGGCGCTTCCTTCCAAACACCATAGTCCTCGAAGAATTTGCTCGTCGCGGTATTCGCGGCAGCTAGGATTGGAGTTATCAGTAGCAGCCCGGGCGGGGATTGACGTAGATCCAGAGATGGAACTCACTTGGTACGGTGCCATTTGTCGCAGTTTTAGCTGCCATAATGGAGAGCTGATAGCGAGGGACGGGCGGGGGGAAGAGAGGGGGAGAGAGTGAGAGAGGAGGGGGAGAGAATGAATGAATGAATGTGTGGGTTGGAAGGGCGCCGCGGGGGATGGCAGGACTTGAGATGTTGGGACCGTGGACAGTTGATAGTTGACAAGTTGACAATCGACGGGTTGACCTGATGCTGGCTCGCTCAATAGGGGCGGGCGGTCTGGATGGAGCCTTATTATTTGCTAGGAACCTTCACGTCGTCAGGTACCCGCTAAGCGAGTTCCCTCCGGATTCTGGATAAACAACGATGGGAGAGGATGGCGATAGTATTGTGCTCTACCGCGGCCTCATATACTTGGGGATGGGGATTTCACGATCAATGGCAGAAGGCTGGCGGTCTACGATGGGCGCCGTGTCAGACGTCGCGATTATTGATGATAGTCTGGCTGATAGCGGCGTGAGGCTGGACTCGGTGGTCGCTGAACGGTGGGCAGGGAAACGAGAGGTTAAAAATACACACACAGATAGGTAAAAATAGACGGGGGTGGCTACTACTATACGATCTGACGGTCTCCAGCAGATATACTCGGTTCTTCTTCTTCATGTCGACTCAAGAATGAACTCTGAGGTTTACCTTATGGAGCGGGCTCTTTTCCTGGGCTGTACGTACACAGAGCAGGGTTATGTACTCGGGCGATGAACGTTTCCCACGGGCTCCCCATCTTCCATCTTCCCTTCCTATATCTTCTCCCTTCTCTCCCTCTATCTCCCCTCTTCCGTCCCTCTCTCTTCCCTTCCGCTGACCATGAATCATGATGCTGCGTCCCGCGTGCACGCGGACCAGCACCGGGCAGCGATGACGACCGCAGGAATTGCTCGAGAGGACGACGACGACGCCCGCAACACTTCAGGAACAGGGGTGTGGCCCACCGGTGTGGATTCCAGCCACGCCCGATCCCACTGCGCCTAAACCGTCCCTGGCCCGGCATTCGTTGCTCGATATCTCTTCTGGGATCTGGATCATCATACTCATTCTACTATAATCACACATACATACATACCCAGGGACTCAAAAAGCTTCTTCTTTATCTCCCTCTTCTCCCTCTTCTCCCCTCTTCTCCCCCTCCTCCTCCCTCTGTCCTCTATGTGCCATGCGTGCTTGCTTTGCTGTTTCCTACTTCCCAAGTCCAGCCCATCATCGCCGCTCCAGTATTCCCGTGTATCCCGTATGTCCCGTATATCCTAGACACTTACACAGCGTCCATCTTGGCGTGTCGCATGTCCCTGTCTGGTTGGCCGCGGGGTCATGTCATGAATTATTCTTGCTTACGCCGGAGGATTACTGTGCTGTCCGTATTTAAATACCTCTGGATACGCGACTCCAGCCTCGCCTCCCCTCACCTCAGCTCAACCCCTCCACGTTTCTATTGTCCCCAGCTTCAGGAATGTCGTAATTCTACCCACATATCTGCCGAGGCATAGTCGACAATCCTTCCTCTCCGTTCCTCCCTTCTTGCTTCAAGATTCAAGAAATATCTAAAAAACCATGGCCGAGCGATCAACGAGCAGCTCTCCGTCGATCATCTCCTCCCCCTCGACCCCCGGGGTTGAGTCGTTTGACGAAAATGAGAAGCTCACTGCGGCTGAGGGAGGGGTTGTGACCAAGAGCCCCGAAGAATTCGAGCTCGACGACGATGTGGAGAGGACGGGAATGCTACCCCCGCCAGACTTCGAGAAGCCCCGGCCCGCTCCAAACAACGGTACGAGCACTGCGCTCATCTGGATGGCAGTCAACACATTGGCAACTATTGGCATCGTGGGTCTGCTCCGTGTCCAGTATCTGAACCAAGCGCTGATATATCTGATACTACAGGTCTTTACGAATAAAGCAATCTTCTCAGATCCCTCGCTGAAACTCGCACAACTCACATTCGCAGCCTTCCATTTCTTCGTGACATGGCTTACTTTGTACACACTCTCTCGACCTCGATTTGCCATGTTCACGCCCAGAAGGGTGGCATTCAAGGACATATTTCCGTTGGCAATTGCCATGTCTCTGAACGTCATCCTTCCCAATCTCTCGCTCGCATACTCGACCGTCACGTTTTACCAAGTCGCCAGGATCCTACTCACCCCCACAGTTGCTCTTATGAATTATGTGCTTTACAAATCCACGCTCCCTAGAAATGCCATCATTGCCTTGGTGCCAGCTTGTCTCGGGGTGGGAATGGTCTCTTACTACGATTCGCTCCCATCTGCAGACGCATCGATCAAGACGACGAGCTCCCTGGGAGTCATCTTTGCCTTCTCCGGCATCTTCGCAAGCTCTTTGTACACGGTGTGGATTTCCAGCTACCACAAGAAGCTGCAGATGAACAGTATGCAACTGCTTTTCAACCAGGCACCGCTCGCTGCATTCATGCTTCTATATGTCATCCCTTTCGTTGACACCTTCCCTGTATGGACGGAAGTTCCAGTCAGCAGATGGGTTATGATATTGATGGTACGTTTTCCAACCTACTGCTCTCGAGCTTCAGACCAGGGCCATCACCACTGTCCAGAGACTCGTATAACATGACCTAAGCTGACCTACTTGACCCCAATCAGTCCGGTTTCTTCGCCTGCGTAATCAACATGTCCCAATTCTTCATCATTGCACAAACGGGCCCCGTATCCAGCACCGTCGTAGGCCATGTAAAAACATGCTCCATCGTGGCTCTAGGATGGATCACCTCAGGGCGCGCCGTGAGAGATAAATCAGTCATCGGTGTCTTTATCGCTGTCGGTGGAATAATTGCGTAAGTCAATCAATCTCTTCCCCTTCCCCCCTCCCCCCCAAAAATATCACATCTTACTAACTCCCTCTTCTCTCTCTCACAGCTACTCTCTAGTAATGCTCAAACATAGAATCCAACAACAAAAATCCTAACTCGCCACCAAAAAAATAAAAAATAAAAATAAAATCCCTTTTCACGACGACAGCTAGCTCTCACCTTGTAATAATAGCTCATCAACTCACGAGCGAGCGAAATCCTACTTACTTAATCTTTGTTGTTTGTAAACTTTCTTATTCTTGTAAGGGCATGGGAATGGAATCGGCGTTCTGTGGTGTTGGGTGGTGGCTGTGTCTTTGTTTGATATTTATCTTTTTGGCAAAGAGGAATGGAATGGAATACAAGGCAGGAAAAAAGAGAAAGGCAGAGAGGGAAAGAAAGAAAGCACAGGACAGTACAGGACAGGACATGTCAATATGTACCTCAGATATGCATGCATTCATGATAACAAAACTATAGTAAGAACCTTCTTCTTCTTCTTCTTTAGCTGTATACCAAGATAAAATAAAAAGAAGAAAAGAGGTCAGACCTAATTTTTTTTTAATGGATGAATGAATGAATCATGGCTAGCTGGCTGGCTGGTGGGTGTGGAAGTGAGAAGTACTTAGTGTAGTGGTTGGTTGGTTGGTTGGTTGGTTGGTGGTGGTGAATATCAAACGGGATTTATTGATTGATTGAGGAGAGTAGAGTAACAGAACAGTATCATGAGGTGGATATTGTACTCCCCCTCTCTGCCCTACCTACTCCAAAGCTACATAGGTACCTACTACCTACCTAGCTTTCTAATCCCACAACCACCCCCCTCAAAAGTCATAAATAAACGAACAATTAATGGCGATCCGATGCAAAGCAAAGCAAAGCAAAGTGATCAGCCCATCCAAACGCCCCCCCGTTCCCATGTATAAACCTTTCCTTTCCCTAATACGCCATTTTTTTCTATCCCGCAACACCTGCTGCTCCTCCTTGCCTTCTATTGTTTGCATCCCGTCAATTCCATAACGTAAAGGGGGAAAGGGGGGAAAAAATCAAAAATGTATTATTCTAAGGAGTTTCAGAGATTCATTTACCAAGGCGCGAGGCCCGCAGGGAGCAAAGGATACTCGACACCATCGATGATCTCCGTCTCGTCGGCGCGCTTCCAGTAATCGTGGCAGCTGCCGGGAACGTACTGCGCCGCGTCCATCTTGAGCATGAGCTTGACCTCCGGGCAGTAATCCCAGATGTGCTTGCGCATCTGCGGCGTGCCCCAGATGGGCGAGTGGAGCGTGTCGCCGCTGCTGCCCGTGTGGTAGCCCATCGGCTCGTAGAAGCCGTCGCGCCACTCGTCCAGCCCGGCTTCGAGCGGCCCTGCGAGTGGGAGGTCTGGGAGAGGCGGTTGCCGGCCTTTCTTGTGGGATACCGTCTGGACACCCCCGGCGTGCATCTCCCCTGAGAAGGCGAGCGACATTGTCCCGTTTGCCATCTTGGCATCGGGACGGTGGCCAAGCCGATCGCAGAGCCAGACGTCTTCAGGCTCTGTGTGTGGGATGCGTGTCTGGTGCTTTAGGATATCAATAATCTTGCTCACACGCCTCAAGCTCAGTCCGCCGTTGCCTCCAAACCCGGAGCCGGGACTCCAGGGCGCGCCCACCCAGTCGTATTCAAGCCAGTTATCGAGGCTCTGACGGCTGTTGGCGCACAGCATACTGTCGGTCTGGAAAATCAGCAGCCACTCTGCGGGGTACAGCAGCGTCTCATAGAGCCAGAGCGTCGTCAGGAAACGGCTGATCTCCTCCTGACTGCTGGTTGACATGTTCGCCGGGATGTATGAAAGGTCCATCTTGCCGATGGCGACGGCGTCGCGGATGGCGCGGCTGCCGTTGATGTAGGCCACGCTCTCGGGGCTGCCTATGAAGTGGAAGCGCCAGTCGGGCGGGACCACGGACATGAAGTGCAGCATGAGCGGCGCCAGGACGGGGTTCACGCGGTTCTCGATCAGGAGGGCAACCTTGGAGGCATTGAAGGGAGAGCGGGGTGCCTCTACAGCGTTAAGCTCAACGTTAGGCACGCTCATGCTTGATTGGCTGGGGATGAGGGGGCCGAGGAGGAAGAAGCTGACGGTCCTGTATCCCGCATTGTATCAATTAGCATCTGCGAGAGAGGAGAGAGAGAGAAGCTCGAAGCATTGGACTTGAGGCGTACAGGAAAAGTATCACGGCGGCCGTGGCTCGCATCCTCCGCGTCGTCTTCGACCATGCTGCGATCCCGGCTGCCTTCGTCCGTTCCCAAGCGGTATCCATAGATATCTCGGTGGAAGATGAACCCATCGCGGGCATCTCGCAGCGGTGATTGACCCGTTCCCGTTGCAATGGAACGGTTGGCAAGAGCAGCCCTTCCTCAGTCTTCGATGTCACGACAAGAGGGAGTAGTCGTCGGTGATATTCATGCTGCAAAGCCGGCGCAAGGGACAATTCGCGAGAAGGTTATCTGCGTACCTTAGGAGGGACGCCGTCTGAGAAGAAGAACAAGGGATCCTGCGGCGGAGGTGGCTGTGGCTTGCCAGGGTCTACGCGGCCGGGATGATATTCGATGGGGATGACAGGCCTCGGATGATGCGGGTCAGCTCTTCATGTGCCGATCACTGTGTCTTACTGATTGAGTTGCGGAAGAGGAAAACATCGTTGTTGTGGTTGTTATTGTTGATGCCTTTGTCAACCATCCAGCACGTATCTTGGTACAGCAGTAGTCGGATGTACCCGTCCGTTGACTTGGAACAGCGGGACGGATATCCGCCGTGCCTGTGCGGGACACAGCAGGGGCAATTTGAGGAGAGAGAGAGCAGCTCAGAATCTCAGATCCATCTCCATCACTAATTGTCTCCATCATCTTCATAGGGACCTACATCTTCATGTTCTTCATACGTACGCAAAGGACATGCCCCCCCTGCTCGCACCTCGAATCCTTCGTTCGAAAGTTTGACGGTTGAACCCCACCTCCCGGCTCGCGGGTCTCTCGTCAGACTCGTTTAAAGATGCCTGGGGTGGGCACATCATAACGGCTTATACTAGGCCATAATTGTCCAATGAAATCTGCTCAATGCCAATATTCCCACAGCAGAATTCTCTATGCGACACCCCTTGAATTGTCCCAGCAGGGGTCTCCTTCTCCCAGCGCCATTCTGGTACAAAGAATGAGAGCAGATCCCTCCTGGTAACGCTGTCAAATACGATCATGTACTTCAGCCACGGGAACGACCATTACTCCTCCAGACCTGCACTTCACTTGCACCCATAGCCTGACTGCACCGAGTATCCCAAGGCCCGACATGCAACTTCATCATTCAAGGCCTCATTAGGTTTCTCCTCACCTTCAGTTCCCTGCTTCTGGGACGCCTCTGGGATCGACCGCCACAATCGAGGGGATCCAGCCTCTTCTAGAAGGACTAGTCGCAGCCTCAACATGTCGATGGGCCATCCTAGGCTCGGCTCCCTTGGCAGTTCGGTATTCATCCTTAATCGGACAAAGATTCTGGCCGTGCTGTCTCTGATATTAACGTGAGTATCCAGAGCGCCGAGAGAGACCCGGGATGATGCTAATTCGAAGCGCAGCTGGATCATCGCACAGTATCTGCCCATTCACGGTCAAAGCGTCAGAGACACGGTCCTTACCAACGTAAACGATTCCCCCGAGAATATAACTGCGGTCAGCGGCGCCTGGCATCCAGAACACGATGCGAAAGCGCAGTTCAACTCCTCGCGGCTTGCCCTTATAATTGAGGGCCGACCTCTCCGACATCTCTTGCCGCAACTCCTCCACATGATGTACGTCGTGCCTGCGGATTGGAGGTTTATGTTCATCGGGTCGAACCAGAGCGTGACGAGCGTGCGCCGCAGCTTTGCAACGCAATTCCACGAGCAGAATGGGAAGTTGGACGTGCTGGTTATGCCGGAGCCTTGGAATCTTGGAGACAAGGAGCATGTCTATCGGATGCTCACAGACATGCGGTTCTATGATGAATTCTTGCCCGGGGTGGAACACCTGCTCCAGTTTGAGTCAGATAGCATCATGTGTGCAAATTCAGCGGACAGTCTGAATGACTGGTTGGAATATGATTGGGCCGCGGCGTCAAGGTAAACGCACTCTTGAGTTAGTCCTAGATATTGTTCTAACTTGTATGGTACATAGAACACTGGACGACCGTTATGCTACCAATGGAGGATTATCACTACGACGAGTGAAGACGATAAAGCAAATATTGGGGTCCAACAAGCGCCAGAACGATACGGAACCCGAGGACCAGTGGTTCACAGAAAGGGTTGTGGATATTCCTGGCGCCAACATTGCGAATGCTAAACATTTGAAACAACTATCGGTGGGCGACATCTGGCGCGAAAGGCCTCTGGGGTTCCATGTTCGAGACGGAGGTCAGCAGCTGGCGGACGCTGTATGGAAGGATCCCAAGCGGCGGAGAGCAATCTTTGATTACTGCCCCGAGTTGGCCATGATCATGCCCATGAAGCTAGAACGCGAAAGATGTGCTAGTGATAATAAAGAAGGGATCACAGACTCCGCTATATGGGCGGATAACGGAGATAGGAGATCCAGGTGACGATTCTGATGACGGCCTTTTAAGACCATAGACTTTGATGTACCCTTAGCGGCTTTTACGACTTTCTTAAGGGACGGGAAAGGAAAAATATACGGCCTGGTTCGGCGTTTGGGTGAAGGTTTTGATACTCTGAAATCGTTGGATGGGATCTCGATACCAATGCTTTATGCTATATGCAGCATTCTCCCGAAGCTCTTTTGCTTCTCGGATATCGGCTCAATCCTTTCCCGCTCAGTGCTTTCAATAGCAAGTCGTGGCCATTCTCTACCTTGGTCTCTGCCTTCCTATATACTGAACCATATGATCCACAGACAGCCTTATCCAGTCTCCCTCTGGATTCCGGTCTAAGCAGCAAAAGAATCGAGGATAGTTTATTTGGCAACAGGAGGGTGGATTCCGCCCCCAGGCACGTACGAAGCTTTAACACTCGTTCTATTCCTTGGAGACAACGAGTTGATCTTAGAGCGGAAGGGGAATGTTACAGTACACATGACGTGCTGGTGATTGGCCCCGTTCACGGAGTATCGCGACTCACAAGTTAACCGCATAGTCTTTCGGCGATAGCCAACACAATATTATCTCCGGGGGCAGCCTTATAAAGGTCAACACAATTATCACGCATCCCCGCAATTTGATACATACCTACCTACCTAGGTATACGTATACTTGATCAACAACAGCACTTGGTATATTTATTGATCTCAAGCTGTAAGCGCAAAGCAATGGGACAATATGAGGATTGATTCCTAGTGTGGTTTGAACAAATAGGGTTTGTATATTACTAATAATGTGTATTGACTTCCCTCGTCCAATAATGCTGTTGGCCGAGATTGGGGTAGCGTTCTTTATCAACGCGCTCTTCTCCGTGATGGTACTTGATGGGGGGTGAGGCTTCTTATACGTTTTCGTATCCTATGCCCGTATCGAGGTAGTCATCCCATCGATATCCCACCCTGGGGAAGTAATATTGTTGATCCCCGAATATCGTTCATATCATGATACCAATCAACCCTGCAGCTAGCTGTCTTATCACAGAACCGCCTTTTGATGGAGTCGCGGGGATGATAATGTCTAAAATCTAGAACCAGAGATTGTCGCGTCGCTTTGTGTAATGTATCATTGTTTCTATAAAACGATGGCTCACTCATCTCCTTGGCGTTATTGTTACATGGCAGTCAGTTGTTAAATCGTTTCATCTCTTTTCCATCCCCATTCTGTCTCCATGGAGGAATCAGAGCTTCGCCATGGTCAGCTTGACGAGACCGCCATCCCTGGCACAGTTCATCTTGTCGATCTCGAAGGGACGATTCGGGGAAAACATGCCTCTGGCACAGATGTTGTTCTTGTGCCCACCCCTTCAGCGGATCCAGATGATCCGCTGAATTGGTCTCTCCGGCGCAAGTGGCTGGCCACGGCTTCGCAGGGCATGTTTACGTTGATGGTTGGGATTGCTTCAGCAGTCGTCTACAGTGTCCTGGAACCTATCTCTGAAGACACGGGGTTAACGTTGGGGGATCTGAACTCAGGAACTGGGTATGTACCTTTCCTCGTGGTTTAGCTTGATGGCTAATTGATACTCTTTCTCTTTAGCTATATGTTCCTCTTCTTAGGTGCGTCGACGTCTGCCTCGTCCGAATATCATGGTTGGAGACTGACTGTTGGAAGGCTGGGGCTGTCTCTTCTGGCAAGCAGTAGCATTGCAGTTCGGCAAGCGGCCAGTATACTTGTTCTCAATGGTGGCCACTCTGGTGAGTAAAGCACAAGTCTAAAATCCCAACTTGTATCTAATCCTTCCAGGGTATTATGATATGGGTACCATATACCAAGACGAATGGTGCCTGGATAGGGAGCAAGATTCTCCAGGGCTTTGTTGGCGCACCTATTGAGTCTCTTGTTGAGATCTCGATCACGGACATTTGGTTCACGCACGAACGTGGTAAATTTATGGGGGGCTATGGTTTCATGTTATTTGGCAGTAACTTCCTCGCTCCTCTCTTGGTAAGTCCTTGACTTGATCTTCGAGTTGAGCTTTAAGACTAATTGTACTCGAGGCTGGTTTCATAAACGATGGCCAAGGTAAGTCCTGACCCTGTATCCAGCAGATAGGTGAATACTGATCATGTAATAGGCTGGAAGTGGGTTATGTACTGGTGTGCTATTTTCTTGGCAGTTGGTTTCGTCTTCTGTTTCTTCTTTATGGAAGAGACCAATTACGACCGCGTGCCTTTGGAGATGGTGTCAACGCCCGCTACGCCAGGCACTGCTACCCCGAAAGACACACCTCCTTCAGTAGAAGCCGACCCAGAGAAGAGTGCCGCCGCAGTCGACAATTTAGCTGCAAACTCTGATTCCGGGGTGGGATCGGTGCAGTACACCAAGAAGACATACTTCCAGAAGCTCGCACTGCTTGATAAGAAACGCGACTTTCATCTGTTCCGGATGATGGTACGACCCCTCCTATTCTTGTCGCTTCCATCCGTTGTCTACGCGGGCTTTTCCTACGGCAGTACCTTGATCTGGTTCAACGTGTTGAACGGAACGGCTTCACTCATTCTTAGTTCACCGCCTTACAACTTCCCTTCCTCGATGGTTGGATTAGCTTATCTGAGTCCTATAATCGGTGTCGCATTTGGCTCTTTCTATGCAGGAGTAATTGGGGACCGGGTTACTCTGTGGCTAGCCCGTCGAAACGGAGGTGTCCTAGAGAGCGAATATCGTCTGTGGCTCTTCTGGATCTCTGTGATTCTCGTTCCTGGATCTTTGATCCTCTGGGGAGTTGGGGCCCAGCACCACGTCCACTGGTTTGGACTCATTTTCGCCATGGGTGTCATCGCGTGTAGCAACTCGATTGGCGTGCAGCTGAGCGTAAGCTACTGTATCGATTCGTATAAAGACCTAAGCGGCGAGGCGATGGTAACCGTGATCATCATCCGAAACACCATGAGCTTTGCAGTGGGGTACGGGATCACGCCGTGGGTGACCAATATGGGTTACCAGAATGCCTTCCTCGTGGCAGCATTCGTCGGCATGGCCCAAGTCCTGTCCTTCTTGGCCGTGATCAAGTGGGGTAAATCCTGGAGAAACATGACGAAGAAGAGGTATTATAAATTCGTGAAGGAGAGCCAGCTTCTGGGAACAAGTCATTAGAATAGACGGTGTTCTAAAGAAAAGTAATAAATATAGGTAGATAGACCCGATAATTCAAGAGCAGTATCATCCTCAAAAGCGGGCCGTGTATAGTGGTGCTCCTAAGGTGATAGATCTCCGGACCCCCTCACGCCGTCCACATGTGGTTTCCGACTTGATGCCGTGCGTTACAAAGGGTGACCATCATTCCTATAATTCCAAGAATCCAGAAGGTTCAGCTATATATTAAAGAGGCAATTCGATGTCTATAGATACGTCAGAACATTTGGGTGCTCTGGAGCCGCCTGACTCGTATTCATTATGCATTCCACTACACGCTTTCCCAAGACTTCCTAGCATCGCAACGAGCAGGGAAAAAAACCAAGACGTCGTAGAATATCCCCCCAGCAGAGTCTCAACTTATCCTGCTGCAACCGGCAACCCCGTCATCATTTATCCGTGAGGGTTGACCCTTCGATCGACCCTGCATATCGTGTATCTGCATCCTCCCCAATCCCCGCGACCACATCTCACACACGGCGTGTAACCATGTGCTGACGCCCTTCAAACCCCCACACTGCAAAGTCGATCGCCCAAAACGTCTGGAAACTGCCAATTTCGCAGGCCCGCAAAGCCATGGAGGCGGAGAATCGTGGCCTGGATCTGGAGAGGGAGTTGATGTGCTCTGTAAGTTTTGGATAGGACCCCCCCGAGATCATTCATCTGTTACCCCGCTGGCGAGGGCAGAGCAGACAACGCATGTTTGCGACTGTGCGATTTGCGCAACGCCCGCAGACCTGGGACTCTGATTCTCGAGTTTGCCCGTATGGTTAGGGAAGGATGCTGATATACTGCGGCGCGTTTAGATCTGCACGGAGGTCCTCTACCAGCCTCTGACGCTCCTCGATTGCCTCCATACCTTCTGCGGATCGTGCCTGAAGGAATGGTTCAACTGGCAGCTGACTGCCTCGCGGAATGCTGGTGGTTCGAGCCAGTATACCTGTCCGTCATGCCGTGCGCCGGTGCGAGACACGAAGCATAATGCGACGGTGACTACGCTGCTAGAGATGTTCTTGGCGGCGAACCCGGAGAAGGCGAAGAGCGAGGAGGAGAAGGGAGAGATGGAGAAGCGGTACAAGCCGGGGGACGAGGTGCTACCTAAAATAGAAATCCGGGAGAAGACCCTACGGGAGAGGATTGCGGAAGATGAAGATAGGAGATTGATGGAGGAGGTCAGGAATATGAGCCTCAGGGAGGTGGGGGTAGAGCCCCCAGAAGCAGCTCGTAGGGAGCATAGAAGAAGGGACGAGGGCAGATCTTACGCGCACAGATCACAGTCTAGTCGGGATCATAGCAGGGACAATAGAGGCACGGAGGAGCGAGAGAGACGGCGACGGCGAGAAGCAGAGGCTGAATATCGAAGAGCCCGGGACGATATAAATCTCCGCCCAGGAGCGCGGGACGAGGACCGGAGACGCAGACGCAGCGAAGAGGAGTCAAGGAGGAGAAATGAAGAAACTCACCGTACGGTGGAACGCCAGGTTGAACACCAGTCATCTCTACGGTCCTTGATCAGCTCATCAGACATCGATTCTCGCGAAATGGAGGAGGAAATTCTACGTCAGATCAGGGAAGAGGGACTTCTGGATGGAATAGACCTCGAGAATATTGATGTCAATCAAGAAGACCAGATTAGTGAGAGGATTGCTGAGGCGTTCAGGAGACGACAGAGTGAGAGGGCAAGGCAAGAACCAGCCAGAAGGAGTGATGCGAGTGGCAGACGCTCACAGACTCGGAGTTCTGCTACTGAAGGAAGAGAGGCATCACGCGATGGGAGCAGTGGAACGACGAGGAGACACGGGACTCACTCCAGATCACCCAGCGGAGCCACTGTGGTCGATGAGCAGAGAAGACCACCACCATCTATGAGCGCGGTCCAGTCAGCTCACCTCGAGCTCAATGCCAGTAATGAGGCTAGGAGGAGGAGAAGGAGGACTATGAGTAGCGGTCGAAGTGCTACCGCCCCCGTAATCGTGGAATCACGCCCTGCAGCCCGATCACAGACCGATCTCAGTGGTAGACCGCTTTCAACGCAGATACCTGCTGTACGACCACTGACAATATCACAAACAAGAAGTAGTACAGATCCAACTCTCCGGCCCGGCGCTGAACTACCAACTTCTGATCGATCTTCGCGAGAATCTCAGCCAGCACCAACATCCAGTTCTAGTGCCGCGACCAACATACCATTACGACCCAAAGAACCCTCAGCAGTTACAGTTACTTCTACAACTATGCCTAAAATCCGCACAGCCCCACCCGTTGAGATCTCTGTGCCGACCTCTGCTTCATGGACCGCCTCTACAGAAGAAGTCGACCGGTCCTTACTACCCCTCCCGTTATCGCCTCGTGCTCCTTCACAACTCTCACTCTCCGAGAAGGTTACTGCTATATCGAGTGGCTCTAGACCAACTTCTTCATCTTCGTCGACATCACGAACTCGACCAGAGTTCTACCCCGAGCCATCTATAACATGCGCAAGGTGTAGCAGACCACATATTGAATACGAACTCCATTACAACTGTGGTATCTGTTCTGGCGGCAATTATAACATCTGCCTTCAATGTTACCGGGCAGGTAAAGGCTGCTTGTACTGGTTTGGATTTGGCTATGCAGCGTTTGCGAAATGGGAAAACCAGACCCTTTCCGGAGTGTTGCCGCCAGACGCAGAAAGGCCACACATGCTCCATGCGAGTCGTTATGTCCCTCCGAAAATCCCTGCTGGAGGAGCTGATGGACGAAGAACGCTCACTACCGATGATCCACAGAGGAGGCTACAAAGTGGTGTCTTCTGTGCAAATTGTTTAGCATGGACGAACGAATGCTACTGGCGCTGCGACGTTTGTAATGATGGTGACTGGGGATTCTGCAACCTCTGTGTTAACCAAGGAAGATGCTGCACGCATTCCTTGCTGCCCCTCACCTACAAACCCTCTGAAACTTATGTTGCACCATTGTTGCCAAGTCAGGATCACAGGGCGCCTCCATCGGCGACCATTCTCACGGGACCAAACGTGACCAGCTACGGGTCATTCAAGCCTCTTACTTTTGTGACAACTTGCGACGTCTGTCGTTATCCAATCCAGCCTACGAGCAGTCGGTATCACTGCTTCTCCTGTACTAGCAGAGTTCCCAACACCCAACCCGGGGACTATGATATCTGTGCAACTTGCTACCCGAAGCTCGTCACCTCCCGACGGATCAGCGCTGAAAATGGACCGAATGGCTGGCGCCGCTGTCTGCGCGGCCATCGCATGATCGTCGTCGGCTTCGAAGATAACCGCAGTGGGCAACGCCGCGTCATCGTGAAAGACCTCGTTGGCGGCCGCGGTCTGATCGAGGAGCCCAGCCCATCCAAGGACCACTCCAGCGGGGAGCTCCAGCAATGGAGCTGGGGAAACGGGGTGCACATCAGCGGCGACCGATCCCACAAGAGACTAGTGACGAACGATGTCATGAAGACGGCACCAGCCAGCTCGCCCGGCCCGCCACCCGAGACCGGGTTCCCGCCTGACGGAGGCGTGGGCATGACGGCCGTCGCGATCTGGGGTTGGTACCCGACGGCCGACGCCGAGGACGAGCTGCTCTTCCCCAAGGGCGCGGAGATCAAGGAGTGCAAGGATGTCAACACGGACTGGTATTTCGGGACGTATATGGGCAAGACGGGACTGTTTCAGGCGAACTATGTCCGGGTCATGGATACGGGCGTCAGGATCTAGGGTACGGTATTATATTGCGTATCTCTCTCTCCGTCTCTCTCTCGCTCTCGTTGGATTATTTAGTTCTTGATACGCGAGATGATAATCTATAATTCTTGAACTTGTGGAAGTGTGGGAGCATGAGAGATGATGAGGGATGTCATCACGGATTCGTTTTCTGTGTCGCCCAATATAAATAACAGATTCTATTGATTCTTCTGTGAAACCCAATAGAATGATAACTGTGAAAATGAAGGGGGGAGAGGGGATGGATGTGAGATGCAACGCAAATGAGAATTGATGATATAAGTTCTTTCTATCTACTGCTTGCTTGCCCACTTGGTGATATTTCCCATCATTCTTATCTCATCCCTCTCCCCTTCCTTACGCTCTTGTTCTGTTCTGTTCAGTCAAAGTCATATTCCTATTTCTTGAAGTATTCTCGTCATAGTTGTATCCCTCTACATGTTAAAGTACCCGTAGAGCCAGCCTTTGGGACGATGATCTTGTGGTCTCTTGTGGTGAAGAAGTGTAGATAGTGGGAAATATCAAAATTCATCAGCCTCATATATAGCAGGACTTGCACATTGAAGATGGACTTTCATAGTAAAATTTAAATTTCAAGACTCGTAATATATATATATATAGCGCTAGAGATTGAATCTCGTGCGCTGTTTTTCCATATGCGCCTTCCATTGCCATTGCACCGCATCCTCGCCCTCGCTCCCCGCTCTCCCGATTCCCTTATCCACCCTCCGCAGCTTCAGCGTAAATCTTGGTCCTAACTCCTGCAACCCGGCTCTGATACCCTCTACGCCCTTGACCGGCTTCCCATCTGGCCCTGTGACGCTCTTCTCCGTCTCGCGCTTCTCTCTAAAAACATAGCGATGCCTCCGCACGAAGATGTAATCCCGCTGGTTATGCAGCGTGACGACCTGCCGTCCCTGCAACTCCGGCCGGGGCGGGAACAGAGTCAGGAACAGCCGCGCCGTCAGCAGACCCAGCGGCGTGCGGAAGTTATTCAGGATCAGCTCCGGGTAGTGATTGGTGGGGTTTCCGTGCCCGGGGAGCTTCTTGCCCTCGACCCAGTTTGCGATGGAGAAATGGCAGGTGGGGCCGTGCGGGAGGTGCACGATGCTCAGGCCGGTGGGTTTCTTGTAGTCCTCCTTGAGCAGGACGACGGCGGTGTACTCGCGGTTCGCAGCAAACTTGGAGATCTCGCGCAGCGAGAATTTGTGTCCGTAGCGGTGCGACGAGCGCGGGACGTAGTTGCTGTTTGGGAAGAGGGTGCAAAGGAGCTGGGCCTCGGTGTGTAGAGTCGAGTTTAGAGAGGTGGTGATTAGTATTTTAGGTACTGGAGGAGGTTCGTCGGAAAAGAGGGTTGGGAATTTGAGGGAGAGGGAGGAGGGCGTGAGGTCGAGGTTGGTGCTGGTAGTTGACGGAGCGTTGGAGGCTGCTCGTTGCCGTTGGCGCGAGGATTTCTCTTCTTCGTCTTCTTCTGCGTCTCCTTCTTTCTCAGAATCCGAGTCGGGGTCGAGCATGCTGTCCACATCGTCGTCGTGCTCTTCTTCTTCATCTGCGGCAGACCCCTCCCGCTCGGCGGCCTCTGCTTCTTCTATGCGCCTCCTCTTCAACTGCTCTACGTCCACACTGACGTCTAACCCATCCCCATCTACATCATCCCAGACACGTTTCTTGTCAATCGTATGAGGAATATTCTTGGCTAGTCTTGCCCTCCTTAATTCTGGATCTCGGTCCTCTTCTCGTTTCCGTCTGAAGCGTTCATCTCGTCGTTGGCTGTCGCGGGCTTTCTTTTGCTTGACATGTAAATCTTGCCTTTTTAGTTTATTGCCTGTTCTGAAGGGCAGCGCCGCCTTGGGCGAGGGATTGGATCGTTTTGACCCCATTGTAGTGTTGCGGTTTAATCTTCCAACTTCCAACGTGAATTTCTTGCAAACTGGGGATTCAAAATAATTTTGGCAGTTGACTTCGACTATTCCAGCTTGGTCTTAGTACGCCAAAAGCCGGTAAAGCAGATTCAGAATACCACTTAAACGTCTTAGCGAGGAGGTTTAGCGCAAGGCTCTCAAATTCTGGAGAGTCACAACCACAGATTTACTCCAAACAAAGGAAACAACGTCTTGATTGGAGCAATCTTGGGTGAATGAAATCTTTTTGCAGCTTCGCACGTACTGCTGCTATTCGGCAAAAATCCTTTCCACAATTTGCCTCCAGATGCTTCACAGCTATTCCACAATATAACAGACATCAAACCCCACAGCGCAAATCTGATCGCATCCCACCCAGCACAATGGCAGCTACGACGTTGAAGGGCCAGCCCCTTGACCGCCCCGTCCTCGATTCTATGCTCCGGCGACGAATGTTTTACACTCCTTCCTTCGAGATTTATGGTGGGGTTGCTGGTCTGTACGACTATGGCCCACCTGGTTGTGCCCTGCTGGCGAACGTCACTGATATCTGGCGCAAACACTTTGTCTTGGAGGAGGATATGCTGGAAGTGGATTGTACAGCCTTGACACCCGCTGAGGTCCTCAAGACAAGTGGGCACGTGGACAAGTTTGCCGACTGGATGTGCAAGGACCCAAAGAACGGCGAGATTCTAAGGGCGGATCACTTTGTGGAAGAGGTCTTGGAGGCAAGGCTGAAAGGCGACAAGGAGGCTAGGGGTGTCAAGATTGAAGAGAAGGAGGAGGACCCCAAAAAGAAGAAGCGGAAGGTCAAGGCGACCACGGCTGTCAAACTTGATGACGCGGTTGTTAAGGAATATGAGGAAGTATTAGCAAAGGTACGGTCACCATAATTCTTCTAATGCAAAGACTAACTTGCGTAGATTGATAACTACAATGGCGAGGAACTTGGTCAGTTGATCAAGAAGTACGAGCTTAAGAACCCCAATACCGGCGTCGAACCCTCCCCACCTGTGGCCTTTAACCTCATGTTCCAGACTTCTATCGGTCCAAGCAGCAACGCGCCAGGTTACCTTCGACCCGAGACCGCACAGGGCCAGTTCCTTAATTTCGCAAAACTCCTCGAGTTCAACCAACACCAAATGCCATTTGCATCTGCCTCCATTGGCAAGTCATTCAGAAATGAGATCTCTCCCCGTGCCGGTCTTCTGCGTGTCCGCGAATTCCTGATGGCTGAGATTGAGCACTACGTTGATCCTGAGGGTGGCAAGAAGCATGCCCGCTTTGACGAGGTCAAAGACGTTGAGCTTGTCCTGCTAAACCGACATACGCAACTGGCTGGCCAAACACATGTAGAGAAGGTCTCTATTGGCAAGGCTGTTGCAGATGGCACTGTGGACAACGAGACCCTGGGCTACTTCTTGGCACGTATTCAGCTCTTTTTGGAGAAGATCGGTGTCGACCAGTCGAAACTCAGATTCAGACAGCACATGGCTAATGAGATGGCTCATTATGCTGCCGACTGCTGGGATGCTGAGCTTCTTACCAGCTATGGCTGGGTTGAATGTGTTGGCTGTGCGGATAGAAGTGCTTATGATCTTACTGTTCACGCTAAGAAGACTGGCGCACCACTAGTGGTCCGACAAAGACTAGAGAAGCCGATCAGTGTCGAGGAATGGCAGATCGAGCTGGACAAGAAGAAGTTTGGCCCTCATTTCAAGAAAGATGGCAAGACTGTCGAAGCTGCTATTGAAGCCCTCCCGCAAGAAAAGCGCGAGGTTCTTGCAAAGGAGCTCGAGTCAACTGGCAAGATCATCATCGATGTTGAAGGTGTTGGTAATGGTAAGGTTGAGGTTAGCAAGGACTTGATCGTTATCGAACGCCGCACACGAGTCGAGAACACAAGGGAGTTCACTCCCAATGTCATTGAGCCCTCTTTCGGTCTTGGCAGAATTCTCTACGCCCTCATCGAACATAACTACTGGACTCGTGGTAGTGAGGGTGGTGATGAAGCACGTGGTGTAAGTCCTTTGAACTCCCAAACTAATAGCCTCGGCTCTAACCCAGATCTAGGTTCTCTCTTTCCCACCACCGGTCGCGCCCACCAAAGTCCTGCTCGTTCCTCTTTCTTCCCACGAGAGCTTCAAACCTCTTCTTAAGCATATGTCCAACAAGCTTCGTACCTTGGGTGTCTCTAGTCGAGTTGACGACTCGTCAGCGTCAATCGGCAAGCGATATAGTCGAAATGATGAATTGGGTACTCCTCTTGGTATCACGATTGATTTCCAGAGCGTCAAGGACAGTACCTATACCCTCCGGGACAGGGACTCGACGAAGCAGGTCCGTGCAGACGAGGACAAGATTTTGGCAGCTATCAAATCATTGGTCGAGGGCACGAAGGTTTGGGCTGATATCGAAAAAGAGTTGCCAGCATTTGAAGGGCAGGATGCGGAAGTTCCTATTCGCTAAGGGTTTTAAGGGTTGGGTGTCATACTCGTACAAGGCTTTAGAGAGACTAGCTTTAGAAATGTCGCCGCCTTGCTAGCGTTGTTCAGAAGCTATTGTCAGACAGATATATATGTACACAGCGTATATGGCAGTGTAGCGTAGGCGAAAGAAGAAAGGAGATTCGTCTTTGAGATATAGCTCCTGATGATCGTGTGTCGGGATCAGAGAGATTATTCACTAGACCACATCAAGTGCCAAAGATCTGCGCAGGAGCTAGTCACAGCGCTCTTGTCACTTGTGGCAGCCCCAGTCTTCACGTGTCTCCACGATTCAAAGCAGTTGTTCCAGCCACTCACATGAGGTGGCAGACAGAAATCCTGCGACAAGACCCGTTGAGCAGAAACATGGTAGGCAAGATGGGGGATGCAACTATACTCTGTAGTAAACTCTGTAGTAAGATATGTTTCAAAGAGGGCTGTTCAAAAATGGGTTGGACCTTGCGCAGCATGCCGCCAGACAAGCGTGTGTGGCTCCTGTGGTTGCCCGCTCACTGCTGTACGGAGTACACCATGTCTATACTATGTACAACCACGGAGTAAGACTAACTGTAAGGCAAGGCAGTGGCAGCGGCTTCAGAGGTTCTGGGCGATCACTAGAATACAGAGTACAGGACAGACCTGCATACTTGAGATGAGGTGCAGTCCGGAGTACATAGCCGTTGCGGATCTTGCATGAACCAATAGAGAGGCGCGCCCTGGTTGAAATGTTCCGAGCAAAGGGGAAAAGGGGCTGGCCTCCCTGTCTGAAACGGCACAGGGATGGACGGACACCATAAATTGTGACAGAATTAGAGCCTGGCTAGATATCAGCTATTGCTATTGGCTGATGGGGCCAGGGGAAAAGGGCACTCACCGAGGACCAGATGCGGGACTCGAGGAGGTACAGCGGCAGGTAAGGTATGTAGTGTATCAATCAGGATCCGTGTAATACAACTCTCTTGCGGCCTCTTAGAAGTTATAGCAGTTGTTGGCACAGCACTCGATAATATATCATAATATCCGGTGCCTCTAGAGTCTGTCCTATCACTGCAGCGATCACGCCCATCCGCCCCTCCTTGCTGACTAAACCGCCTAAGTTGGCGCTTCTCTGGCGCTTCCCTCCCTATCGCATATCGCGCGCCGCGCTAGGCGCAGATCGGCTAAGCGTGGACGGCCAGGCCAAACGCGTGATTCGTGAAAGTGAATGCGAACGTGGTGTGGAGCCGGGCCCGAATCCGCTAGAACGGAGGCTTAGCGTCTCTTCACCACGGTTGCCAAACCTCTCACTACAACAATCCCAAAGCTGGAACTGACCTCCCCATCCCGACAACACCAACAACATCACCGCCCTTCGTTTTCTCCACCCTCCCCCCCCGAATCGATCGCGGGTGATCCTCTGCTAGGCTGTCGACGACAGTCTCGACACCTCTGGAGCACTGTGCGGTCGCATCCCCCCTTCTCTCCCCCCCGTCTCGGCACAGCGAGGCTCCTCCACCTTCCAACAGATCGAGCCTCACCTCGATCTGGACAGACCATCACACTCATACCAGCCTTGAGTGTAACTTGTTACCTTGTATGTGGCTTGATGATCCATGCCTTACCTGCTAGTCTTCTAATCAAGCCCTTCTAGTACGATCAACGATTTCTTTTTAAGATACCCTTCAGCGAGTCCTCTTACCTACAACAGTCTTTGAGAATACCAGGAGAGCCATTGTCGTCATAATCTCTGCACATCTTGTGAACATGGCTTCTTCAAACACGTACGTATTTCGATCTATGAATTATTCAATTCCCCGCGCGCCGGTCATGTTTGTTACAAGCAGAGCCCCGCAAGCCTCGCATTGAATGTAAACAGAGCAAGCTGCCCACCACGCGTGCACCAATTCATCCCCCCCCCCCCCTAACAAACAATTGTCACAACTATCCCTTATTATTCTTTGATATTGTGATGCATTGCCGCAGCTGCTGACTGTCTTCTACAGTATGTACTCTCCGGGTCAGTTCATGAACCCTGGACCTGCCCCTCGACCCCCTACCGACCGACCCCGACTTAATCTCACTCCTACTACCGCCAACCTTCCGGGCAACATGTCTCAAATGAGCATTTCACCCATCACCCGCACTGCAACTTCTACCTACACCGGCTCAACCGTATCCCTTCCCCTTGCACGTCAGGCATCCAACATTGATGGCCAAGGAGGTGTCGCCGTCATTAAGGAGGGCTGGGCTTCCGTCAAGGAGGGCAAGAACTTCATTAGTCCATGGAAGCAAAAGTGGCTCATATTGCGAAAGGAGACCCTTGATTTCCACAAGACTGAAGCTGGCAAAGTCTCTTATCAGATCGTCCTAAAGGATGTTCTAGGTGTCTCTCGTGTTGAGGCCGCTGGTACGATGTTCGAGATCAAGCGATCGCTCAATGGTACTTCGACCAACCCTGGCGACGATGACAATGGCGCAAGAACTCTCCAGATCAAGGTCAAGGGCGACGACGAATTGTATGAGTGGATTGACTTCATCTACGCCCGTTGCCCTGGCATGGGTGGTGTTAGCAACCCTACCAACTTCAACCATTCTGTCCATGTCGGATTCGATCCACAGACTGGGGAGTTTGTGGGCTTGCCCCCTGAGTGGTCAAAGCTCCTCAACTCGTCCGCTATTACCAAGGAGGACTACGAGCGCAACCCGCAAGCCGTATTTGAGGTATTGGAGTTCTACTCTGATATCACCAAGCGTGCACAAAACCCTCAGCAATACTCTAGCATGACCCCTACACCTCCTGCCACTGCAAATCAAAACAAGCAACTTGGTTACTCTATGAACGGAACCAACGTTGCCCCCCCGAGACCAGCCCCGCCCACGCAGCGCAATGGTACCTCTCAATCTTCGTCTCCCAGCAGTGCTAGCACACCAGTTCGACCAACAGCGCCCGAGACGCAGCAACAACGCCAGCAGATGCAGCAGATGGCTTCCAACTATGTTGATCCTGAATCGCGTGAGCAACAGCGTCAGAAGCAGCTCGAGCAGCAGCGCCAGCGTGAGAGAGAGATCGAGGAGCAGAACCGAAAGGATATGGAGGCTTATAACGCATCACTCCCAAAGACTCGAACCCCGATCGCTAAGCAGGAGATTGGTGGCTTCGGAGGTGGCAGCTCCACAACTGACCGCTACAACCCCTCTAGAGCTGCACCTCCTACCCCCGCGGCTCGTCAAGCTCAGCAGGCGCAAGCATCTGCATCCCTCCGAACCCAGAGACAAGCCCCTTCCGCTCCCACTTCAAGCAATTCTTCTTCTCGCCCTGCGCTTACCACTCAGACCAGTTCTTCCTCTGTCCGAGAGCAGAATGGCGGAACTCGATCACCTGCTGCACGAGCTGATCAAAGCACCCAGCGTACTCAAGATGCTCGTTATCAAAATGGCACCAACGGATCCCAGCAATCATCAAGTCGCTCCGCTGCAAATGCGCAGCAGAACACCCCTCCTTCTCGTCTTCCTGCGCCAGTCAACCAAGTCAAGCCTCTTAATGTTGCAGCCAAGCCGCAGAATGGAGCTTCGTCCGCCAACGGTGCTCAGACCGACGCTGTGAAGGCAGCTGAAGCTGCTTTGACGGCCAAGCCTGCCGCTACTGAGCGGAAGCAAGATGTTCGGATGTCTACCATGTCTGAAAACGAAGTTATGGCGAAGCTGAAGGAAGCTGTCTCCAAGGATGATCCTAACATGTCATATTCAAAGCAGAAGAAGATCGGCCAGGGTGCCTCTGGTTCAGTCTATGTTGCTAAGGTTAAGGAGAACCCACTGTCGCCAATTGCTAGGGAGGTGGTTCGCCAGCAGGGAAGCAAGGCTCAGGTTGCCATCAAGCAAATGGACTTGGCGCACCAACCACGAAAGGAGTTGATCGTTAATGAGATCATGGTCATGAAGGACAGCAAACACAGAAACATCGTGAACTTTCTCGATGCTTTCTTGCGTAACAACTACTCGGAGCTCTGGGTTGTCATGGAGTATATGGAGGGAGGTGCTTTGACAGACGTTATTGATAATAACGCTGTAATCACTGAGGACCAGATCTCTACCATCTGTCTTGAGGTAAACTACATATACCTTCCTACCCTACAATACTGACAATACAACAGACTTGTCGTGGTCTTGAGCATCTTCATCAACAAAGCATCATCCATCGCGACATCAAGAGTGATAACGTTCTCCTCGATGCTCGTGGTAATGTCAAGATCAGTAAGGATCTCCCCTATTTGACCCTTGTTTGTTGCTAATACAGCATAGCCGATTTTGGATTCTGCGCCAAGCTCACGGAGTCCAAATCCAAGCGAGCTACTATGGTCGGTACGCCGTACTGGATGGCTCCCGAAGTCGTCAAGCAGAAGGAATATGGTCCTAAGGTCGACATCTGGTCCCTCGGTATCATGGCGATTGAGATGATTGAATCGGAGCCGCCCTATCTAAATGAGGAGCCGCTGAAGGCACTTTACCTCATCGCAACAAATGGCACACCCCGTTTGAAGAAGCCCGAGAAGCTCAGCAAGGAGTTGAAGGCTTTCTTGTCGGTCTGTCTCTGCGTCGACATTCGTAGCAGAGCTTCCGCGAACGAGCTGTTGCAACATGACTTCCTCAAGCATGGATGCACTCTTGCCAGCTTGGCCGACTTGTTGGCTTTCCGTAAGCACGCCAAATAAGCGGTTCCAAAAATGCATAGGTGTTATGATCACGTTGATGACTTACTATGATGATGGAAGATATGGTCGGGGTTTTCATTTCATTTCACTCACTGCAACGAGGCGCATTGTTCGTGCTGGATCCGCACATACATTCAGCATGAATTCCCGGCGTTTGGGAAGCGGCTTATTGTGCTCTGGGTGCGCTTTATTGCAGCGATAGTGATTGCTCTCAAGGTTGTTGCTTAATTATGGCCATCAATCAGCAGATGAGGGCATGCTTTGCGTATTTTTTTGCTTCTCTATTTCTCGGAATCTGAGACAGCGGGTGTTTATGATGCCTTCTGCACCTCAGAATGAGAACATGGTTATGAGACGTGGGCCATACCAGAGAACAAACGGCGTTTAGTGTAGGTAGACTAAAGCGGAATAAAATGATTGTAGAAGTATATGACTGAGTCTAAACTAAGAAGTGCGATATAACCCTCTATTTTCTTTTTCCAAGCAGAAACATTCCACAAGGGCATCCTATTCCGCCTCCTCCCCCTCTTTCTAAGCCAATCTTCTGCCCCAGATTTTGATGTTCCAATTAGGTTAGCGTTGGTGATCGGCTTCATGATCAACGGGTCTCGAGCTCCACGCCCCCCTACCTTGTCAATCTGGACAGGTTGAAGTTTCAACTTTCATTTACTTTCTATATCAAATTGAACCATGGCTCCACTAATACCTTCCGCGAAAGCGACACTGTCGTATCCCCTCTACGCCTGTGCTTTCGACCCTCTCGATTCCTCGCGATTGGTAGTTGGAGGTGGTGGAGGCGCGGGAAGAAGTGGTGTGGGAAACAAGATCGTGAGTTGAGCTCGCTCTTTTGCGCGCACTCTCTTTTTCCTATCTGATTATGCTGGGTCTAACTATGCTGGTGTATAGACACTTTTAGACGCCTCGAAATCCACTGAGTTGGTGGAAGCGGCCGAAATCGACCTCAGCAAAAACGAGGACAACGTCGCGAGTCTGGCAGTGGGCCAGCGCAAAGGGAATGCGACATTGGTATATGCGGGGGTCAACTCTAGTCCCAGCGAGGTAGCGAAGGGGAAGAATCACCATTTTCGAGTCTTTGGGATAGAGCCGGTGGAAGAAGGGAAAGAAGGGTCTACGGCCGACAAGCCTACCACGCACAAGATCACTGAGATCTCGAGATCAACGTTATTTGCAGGGACGGAGACGGATTCATACCAGAGGGTTCTGCGACTCTCGAAACCCTACCCAGATCAACCTCAACTCGGAGCTGTGGCGACAGGGCTGGCTAAGAACTCGGAGCTTGTGCTGTTCGATACTTCGACAATATCACCACCGAACTCGAGAGGAGCTTTGCAGAGCAATAAGGAGGTCGAAGATGTTGATTTTATACAAACTGGGGACTCTGAATATCTAGTTGCATACTGTGACGAACACGATGTCTACGTCAAGAAGATATCTTCGAAGACCGATGAAGATGAGCCAAAATGCGTATACGTTACGCCAGCTTCGAAAAGCCTGGAGAAACCAACCGTGCCGAAGTTTCGGGCGCTGAGATGGTTAACGAAAGACTACCTACTTATGCTCACAAATATTCATAGTAATGGAGGAGCGGTTCTACAGATTCTACGCCTCCCACCCAGCGGCGAGGGCGAAAGCCGCCTTGTACATTCATATCGGTTACCATCGAACGTTACAAAAGCCTCTGGTCTGGCTGTCTCGAATCTGACACCACCTATCTCCCCTTCCACACCTCAAGGCTACACGCAATTCGTTATCGCGGTCGTAGGACAGGACATTTCGATATCGCTGTTCACGGTTGATTTCCAAGTCGAAGGCAAAGTATATATGATGTCCAAGATCAAACCATTTCGCACTCTCAAATCGGTCCATTCATTTCCGATAACAGATATCAACTTCTCAAATTTCACACCCCCGGCACATCCTGTATCGGCGAGCACGCCACCTCAGTATCTAAAATTAGCAAGCGTGAGCGTGGGCAATACTGTTATTGTACACACATTTCCTCTTTTCCCTGTCCCCTTGTCTGTCAAAAAAGGGCAGTCAAAAACACCAAGGTACGTCGTGGCTCAAGCCTCTGGAGCAGCCACTTTCGGGATGGGCATCTTCGTATCCATGATAGCAGTGTGCCTGGCTGCAATACTCTTACAGGGAGTCCTTGAAATCAGAGGTGGCGTACGTCCATTCCTCAACGCGACGAACTATATACCCGTCTCCTGGCAAGAAAGAATTGGAAAGCCTTACACATTCCCCGAAGGATATATCGGACGCAACGCAGAGAAATTCGATGTGCCTCCCGAGTCTCCCGAGGATAGCTCAGGCCTCCCATTTACAGAATTCATTCAAAGTGTGAAGACTGGTGAAGGAGCAGGCGTGGTAGTTATTCGTGATACTCCGGATTCCGAGACCGTCATTCAGGTTGATTGGCATGAGGAGGAGGTACATGGACCACATGGTGGGAAATCATGGGAAGCACTGAGTCATGAGGAGAAAGAAGGGTGGAAGAAGAGGCTGAAGGACGCGGGACACTGGGCTGAAGATATGGGGGAAGCGGTCCTGAAGGGGGTTGTATTTGGGGAGCTGGCCGGCGCTGTAGGCCATGCAGTCCGGGGCGGGTAGGCTGGACATACTCGCGCGGCATGAGAGATGTATTATATTGTTATGTATGAGTTTCATGAATCTGATTGGCTATGTTCGTCCTGTTCTCTTCTTCCAGGGAGTCTCTGACAGGTCTCACAGATCCTTGCACCGCTTTTTATTTTCAAGCATGGGCTCTGCAATTAACAACGGGAGTTCCCTAACCCCCTTTCCGGTTAAAGACATTTATTGCCTATGGTTACCGTCTTGGCTCGAGAGCTCAAAAACGGTTAAAGACTCGGGATTTCGTATCTCTTGAGTACAGAATTGAGATCTTGAAGTGAGAGAAAAGCAAATGGTTTTGGAGGCTTTTTATTGGCGCGCAGTAATGCAGAATGCAGGGGAGCTGTGAGGGGCTTGATATCGGGGGAGGAAGCGGGGTTGACGGCTAAATAAGAAAAAGCAAACTGCAGTGCTGAACTTAAATCGGACGCTCTATCACTTCGCGGGGGAAGATCAACAACGCCTGTTGTTCGGTCCTGGGACAATATACCCCGCTACAGATGGGGTCCCGGGGTTCGTGGAAAGTCATGCGAATACCGCTCTACATAATGTGGGATGTCTCCATGAGTTGAATTACAGCAGGCTATTTCCATATGATTTTGGGTTGTTGAAACGGACAGAAAGTATGGTTAGCAGAAGGACATCCCTTACTGTCACGGCGGCATTGCTTGCCTCGACGGCTGGAGCGCTTGATAATGGACTAGCTATTACGCCGCAAATGGGCTGTGAGTCCCTCCCCTCCCCAGATCCCCATCAACACTGACTGACCGCTCCAGGGGACAACTGGAATTCCTTTGGCTGTGAAGTCTCCGAGACGCTGCTGCTCCAGACAGCTCAATTGATCGTGGACTACGGGCTCAAGGATTTGGGCTACCACTATGTGATCCTGGACGACTGCTGGAGCCTGGGGCGCAATGCCAGCAACAACAACTCGCTCATTGCGGATCCCGCCAAGTTCCCGCGCGGCATGGCAGCGGTGGCTGATGACTTGCACGCCCTCGGCTTGGGCTTTGGCATGTATTCCGATGCGGGCAAATACACCTGTGGTGGGTATGCTGGGAGTCTGGGATATGAAACTGTTGATGCGAATACGTTTGCCAGCTGGGGTGTCGATTACTTGAAATATGATAATTGCTTTAATGAGGGTCAGGCTGGGAACCAACTTATCAGCTATACGAGGTGGGTCAGTATGTTTGCTTCAGAGAACCTTATGCTGATTCCTGGAGATATGCGACGATGTCCAAGGCCCTCAATGCTACGGGACGTCCGATTTTATACTCGCTTTGCAACTGGTAAGATCCTGTCCCCTCTATCGTAGTTGCTCCTAGCCCTGGTCTTTGCTGGTGAGTGGAAATACTAATTCGAAACCTCACAGGGGCGAGGATTACCCATGGAACTGGGGGAGTACGATTGCCAATAGTTGGAGGATTTCTGGAGATGTCTATGATTCGTGGGATAGGCCAGACTCAAGATGTCCATGGTATGGAGTCTTTCACAACCTTGTTCATGCGTAGACTGACCTCGAGCAGCGATGGGCCAGATGCATGGAACTGTGGATTGCCGGGCTTCCATTGCTCAGTGACCAACATCATGAACAAAGCATCGTTTATCACTTCCAAGGCCCAGCCCGGCGCTTGGAATGACTTAGATATGCTGGAAGTTGGGAATGGAGCTATGACAGATGCAGAATATGTTGCCCACTTCAGCTTATGTTGGTTGAATACCCCAGCGTTGTAGGCCAAAAGCTCACTTGATTCCAGGGGCGGCTGTCAAAAGCCCTCTAATCCTCGGCAATGACCTCCGGGTCATCTCCCCTGCCGATCTTTCAATCTTGTCCAACGCAGCTGTTATTGCAGTAAACCAAGATCCGAGCGGTAGTTCGGCCGCCAGGAGATGGATATATACAACTGACGAGACCGACGTCAACGGTCGAGCAGCCATCCAGATGTGGAGCGGGAATCTGGAATCTACCACTGGAGGTGAGCAAAACGACATGGTGGTGCTCTTGATCAACGGCAACAACGCCCGCACAGTAATGAACGCCACCCTCGCCGACATCTTCATCGACAACGGGCCAGCCGGCACCGCACCTCAAGTCAAGATGCCATGGGAGGTCCGCGATCTCTGGGCAAACAGGATGAGCAACGACGAAGCCCAAGCCATCATCTCCAGCTCTTCAGCAACCGCAAACACCACCACGGGATACAATGCCACCACGGTAGGAGCAGGAGGACGCTACAACGCAACAAGAACGAGCTATGCGGAAGGCTTGGCGAGGAAAAACTCTCTGCTGCTCGGGAACATCGAGACTACGGTCCAGCCCTCGGGAACTCTCACCGCGACCGTTGACCCGCACGGCGCTGCGATGTTCAGATTACGAGCTGTGTCTACGGGAACGGCGAAGAGGGATGAATTGTAAGTAAGGCATGGGAGTTGGGGAAGTGCAGAGGCTGGACATACATCAAAATGCAAAGTCATCATATCATCATCATCATCATCACTGTAACTACAGATCGTAAAATATCCAATACCCAGCAATTTGACACAAGATGCATATGCATAACCTCTAAATCAGTATTTGAAATCCAAAATATAAGACCCCAGTTCTCTACGTCGTATATAGCCAACCCCCCTTTAAGAAACCCAGCCAGTCGGGCTTAAGAATAAAAGCCAAAACCAAAATATAACGAGCAGCAAAAGAGCCCTGTTTTTGAAGTTTTTGAAACACGGTCTAAGAACTGCTGATGGGGTTATATGCTTGGGTTACTACCTAGTTGAGAAGAGGAGAAGGGGGGAGGGGGAGGGGGAGGGGGGAAGAGTGGGTAGGGAATGGAATAGAGAGTTAGTTACCTACTTAGTTATGCGAGGTGCTTCTTTTGGGAAAGAGATGATTGATGATTGATGATTGTTGTATGTAAGGAAGGTATATAGTGACTGGGATGTTGGATTGTTTATATAAGGTAAGGTATACTCCTCTGTAGAATAGGCATTTATTTTGTGGCATACATATATATATCCACCACAAGCACAAGCACAAGCTGAATTTTTTTAAGAACAAAAGAAATTAATGTATGTATTTTGTACCAAACGCCGCCCCCCCTCCCGGCTACTATCTATATGATCCCTAAGGGGGGAGGGTTCTGAGACCCGTATGTATGTATATTACTAATTCTATTCTACTCATCATCTACAAGTTTGCCCGCATCCCACGCTTGCTTGGCTGCTTTTTGCAGCGCTTCGAAATCCCCGCTCATCTCGCACATTCCCCTGAAGACGGCGTCTTTGCCCTCTTTCTTCAACAGCTCGTGGGGGTGTCCGTATTCCACCACGCTGCCCTTGTCGAGCACTAGCACCTTGTCATAATCGACGATCGTCTGCAAGCGATGCGCAATAGTGATGATGGTGCTCTTTAATTCTCGGATCGTTTCTTGGATCTTGGAATCTGTATTATAGTCAATAGATGCCGTGGCTTCGTCCATCATCAAAACCTTGGGGTTCTTGAGGAGAGCTCGAGCCAGGCAAAGCAGTTGTCGCTGTCCCTGAGATAGGTTACTACCCGACTCCGTGACTGGAGACGAGAGGTTCAGGAAGATGTTCTTGTTTGTTGTTGTTGTTGGTGTTGTAGTTCCGTTCATCGAATCGGTTGTGGGCAGGTTGGGTGTTTCCGGCCGAGATGCAGGCCCGATCAGTTGGACTCTACGCAAGGCGGTAAAGATGTCCTCGTCTGTGAAGAGGTCGAATGGATCAAGATTGCTTCGAATAGTACCTGTAAAAAGTGTTGGATCTTGAGGAACGATGGTGATCGATTCTCGAAGATCCTGAAGACCAATAAGACCAATATCGACATCATCAATTAATATCTTGCCCGTTTCCGCTTCTAGACCACGGAACAGTGCAAGAGCAAGCGAGCTCTTGCCAGCACCAGTACGGCCGACAATTCCAACTTTCTCCCGCGGCTTGATCTTGAAGCTGACGTTCCGCAGCACCGGATCCAAATCCGATCTGTATCTTGTGGTGTAATCAATGAACTCGACAGATCCCTGACTTGGCCAATTGGCGGCAGGTCTCGTTTCTTCAATGACAGGAGCGGCCTCTTGCTCGACGTCAAGATACTCCTTAATACGCTCTACCGAGTTCATGTTTTGTTCGTTCACGGCGTATAATCGCACGAGCCAAAGCACATTCTCTGTGAAGCTAATCGCGTAACTCAATGATAGACCAGCGGAGCCGGCGTCGATACGTCCTATACTCAGGACTACGAAAGCCCCTGCAAAAAATGCCACGAGATCACCGATAACGTCGATACGGAAGGAAAGCCATCGATTGGCTGCCCACAGATAGATAAAAGGCCTGTTGTGGGTGTTGATCCTCAGCATGTTGTCTCGGATAAATCGTTTCTCATCCCCATATGCTCGGATGGTGGTGATACCACTAAGAGTCTCACCGAACTGTTGGAATAGTGGACTTCTTTGAACAGATTCCAGTCTCTTGAGATCTCTTGAAGATCGGAGATAGAACCTCCCAACAAAGAAGTACAAAGCGCTGATAAAGACACCAGCAATGAGGAATCCAGGCGTGATAACAGAGATCAAGGCAATCGTCACAATAATTGCCAAGGCACATGACATAACGCCAATAGCCACTGGAGCTACCTCCTGGTCGACCGCTTCTAGATCTTTGCTGAAACGATTCATGAGCTGACCCAGAGGGGTGGCGTCAAAGAACTTGAATTTCGCCCGAGTAACAGATTCCATCAAACGTTTATGGAGCTTCCAACTGGCTGTCAGGGAGCCAAAGAATAGCCAGAAATCCCTGAAGAGCGCTACTAACATGCATGAAACCCCGATCAAGGCATAGATAGTAAGGTAGTATCCGACGTCGACGTTAGGGGCAATTTTTGCGAGGATTGAGGTCTTGTTGGGATCGAAATACGGCTGGACCTTGGATAATCTGGGGCCTGCCACCTGAACTGTCGCGATCACGTTACCAACATAGCTATCAGCTGATAGACCATGATAACTACTGATGGACTCCGTATTGTATTGATTGGCCCATTGTCGTATCCAAACGTTGGCAGAAAGACTTCCGATCTGCTGTACTCCAAACACTAGTACTGCGAGAACCCAGAACCACCTTTAAAGAAGTTAGCGTAACGACAAATCAAGATAAAATGGGGGGTTTGCATACCAAGGGCCCATGGATTTCAAATAGAGAATAACTACAGTCCATTTGAGGCCGCCTTCAGCTTTGGTTTCCTTCATGGCATCCTTCTTCTCGCCTCTATCGGCACTTTTGACTTTAGACTGCTTTTTATCGAGCGTGCCACCATTGTTTGGAGCCTCAGCATCATCGATGAGAGTCGCTCCACTTTCATCACCAACAGTTGAAGGTGTTCGAGAAGGTATTCGGGAGGCAGGGGCAGATCCGGGCCGTGATTTGTTAACATCCTCCCCAAGTTTGCCTGATGCCATCACTTCCTCGGCTGATCCCTGGATATCTACCTTGCCGTTATCAAGGTAGACAACGTAACGAGATTGGGGTACACAGAGAGCTAGATTATGTGTTACTAATATGCAAGTACGACCCTGCATGAGCGGCCCGCGGATACAGTTATCGAAGATCCACTTTGCTGTATGGGCATCGACTGCACTCAGACAGTCGTCAAGAAGCACATGTCTCGAGTTCGAATAGAGAGCTCTTGCAAGGGATACGCGTTGCTTTTGGCCTCCCGATAGCGTGATACCCTTTTCACCGACGAGAGTCTGGTCACCGGCGTCTAGAATCTCCAGATCACGTTCCAAAGCGCAAGCAACAATGACATCCCTATACCTCCCCTCATCAAATGGTGCAGCAAAAAGGATATTGTCCTTAATATTGGCGTTTACGAGCCATGGCTGCTGGGCACAATAGGCAACAGTTTCAGTCAAGCCAGTCTCCGGATCGGGAAACACGTCTTCGCGACTGTAGCCACCAGGCAAAAATACCTTTCCTCTGACAAGGGTCATCTCACCCAAGAGCGCCATCAAAAGAGACGTCTTACCCGACCCAGTAGGCCCCGCGATGATGTTCAATTCGCCAATCTCAAATTTGATGTCCAGATCCATGAGGCGGAATGATGTGTTTCCATCTTCTTCCGATACTCCTTTGCCTCCCCAGGAGAAAGTAGCGCCCTTGAAACCAATCATTCTGCTGCCATCTTCATCAAGACTGCCATGTCGAAGTTGTCCGTATTTCTCGGTCTCTTCCTCATCCAAGAACTCTTCCACACGATCGATCGAGACTTTGGACTCTTGGACATGGGCGATCATGTCGCCAAGCTGATCCAAGGGTACACGGAGGATGCTAAAAAGTGATATGGCCGTAAATGCAATAGAAGGGTAGAGTGGCTTCTTCTCCACAACAGTGTATACGAGGAATGAGAAGAAGGTTATAAGGACTGGTACGGTGTTCCACACAGCTACCGCAAAGGCCCAGAGGATGTATTTGTGCCGCAATGCTTTCAGCTCGGCGGCCCGTTTATCATTTACGATCTTGCTGAAGCGATGCTCCCAGGCAAAAAACTTGATGATTCGAATATTTTGCAAAACCTCGTTGGTCGTGTGAATTCTCTTATCCGTTGCTGCCATTATTTGCTTCTGAAAGCCCCCGAATCCGCGTGCGAATGCAATATTAACGGGAAGGAGGATAGCCATTACAACCAGCCCAGGGATACTACTCAGACCAAGGATCCGATAGAGAAGATAGATAGCAACAACCAGTTGGGTAGGCGCGGCGGCAAAAAGGAAATGTAGATATGCCGTGATCTCACTAACTTTGAATGAGTCGACAGACATGAGATTGATGATCGTCCCAACGTTTGCCTGTTCATCTGTACCCTTCTCGGTAGGATCTGCGGCATCTGCAGCAGTCGTGGTGTTTGAAGTAGCTTTTTTCGCTTTGCCTTTCGCTTTGCCACCAAATCCCAGTAGCCCCTTGAGCTTGCTGGGTTTCGCAGCAGCATCTTTGTCTTTCTTGTCTTTCTTGTCTCCCAATACAGTATCGCCTGCAGCTGCAGCTTTTCGTCGGAGAGCTTTGGCATAAATCTCGCCAATGATAATTGCCCTCAATCTTATACAAATCTTCCGGCCAATCCAAAGTGCCTGCTGATCAGCGAGTGAGCGGAGAATATCTGTAAAGGCAAGCAGTATCACATAAAGCCAAATGACGTTCCGTGGTGCTGTCTCGGGATCCTCTATATACTCGAGGATTGACTTCAACAAGAGCGTCGGAGCGAAAGTAAAAAGGCCAGAGAATACGGCATATAAGCATTGGATGATGAGATTTGAACGGAAGTATCGCATAAGGTGCCATGCCAGGGCCGTCGTCTTTTTCAGTTGTCGATAGTCGGAGAGAACCGCCGCCGCCTTATCCTTTGGTACCAGGTTCCAGACATCTGGGAGTTCGAAAGTTTTCCTGTAGCCTTGCCAAACGATGGCATCCACCCAGGAAAAAGTGGCGATGGAAAACAAACTTGCAAGAGGTTCCCTAGACGGTTCTATATCCCCCTCCCACTCCAACACAACGGCCTTGTTCCCCTTCCGCGTAGTAATTGCAATGCCAAAAAGGAGCGAGGTTAGACCGAATTCAGTGATGAGCAGGACCTGTGCGACCTTCGAACGTGGGTGAATGATGGCAGATCGGAATATGACAAGAGAGAATATCCAGATCAGAGTGTATAGAGACGCTGTGTGATTCCATAACCTCGGGATTCTCCAGCGTGTATGAGATAGTGATAATCTGCAAACTGCGAGAATCAGGATGTATGTCCACGTAACAACACCCGTTGCGGCGGCCAGTGTCCCCTTGGGCCCATATGCATGCAATACCAATGCTGCGACATTGATCGCCACCACCGCGGTAATTGCAAGCAGTTCTATGACCACCATCGTATTTTGGCCTCTTGGGCTATCAATCGCCGCAAGGGATCCCGCCGTCGTCGTCTTGGCTAATGCCAATCGACCCCCGTTCATGGACAAACCCTCATCTTCGACCTCCTCCCGCTCATCTGCCACGGCGTCGGAATGCCCAGGGATCTCTCCAGCACCGCCATGAGGTCCAGGCAATCCATTGAAATCTGGTCCACTTGCGAGCGGCTGGTATTTGGAGCTCCGTTTTAACTTGACGTTTCGGCGGATAGCTTGTAATAAGAGGGTGGATAACGAGAACCCAACGACGATTAATGGGAAAAGGACTTTCAGAAAACTGGCGACCGTCAGCACATCTATAGCCTCCTCGAATCAGCGTCTGGGGCAGCCATACTCGCGTTGCACGCAGTTGGTTATATCGTCAACCTGCCATATTGGCCCCGGACAACGACCCAGCATCGTTCAACAACTCCTCCAGTGCGAAGGTGGGGAAGAGTATCTGCAGCACAGATAGGCAAGGCGACAAAGGACCAAGCACCAACAGTGGCGGGGAAGCACACAGATTGAAGGAGCTGAGCTGGGCGCCACGGGCAAGGATCGAAAGACGGGGGAGGAGAAAGGAAAAGAAAAGAAAAGACGGGATTATAAACAATAATAATATCGCAAGGCCTCGATCTGTCCGGAAAAGCGTAGCACGAGCAGATACATACGGGGGACAATTAGTAGGAATCAGTGGCACAGTAGCTGTATGGCGGACAACCATAAATGGGGATTATTCTCGAAGGTCGGTGGGACCATGGCGAGTGCTAGCAGGGCCAAGACTCCAGCCTCCTCCACCAAGGGGCCCCGCTCAAACAAAACATCTGCTCTCGATCTTCGGTATCCAACGTCAACAATAGAACAAGAATCCGAAATCCTGCGCAACGGCTACTCCACGCCCTCACGATGGCAAGGTAACTACGATGTGCAGTACTTCACCTGCTGTCCGGGCTGTCCTGGTAGGTTTCGCTTCTTCCTCTTTATTCGATCGCATCTCCCCCTCCAGAACGGAAGAAGGACGATATCATCATTCATTCTCAGTCCGTTCAGCATCACCACAGACAATCTTTCTTTCTTTCTTTCTTCCTTGCGTATCTACCGAGAAACACGGCAGAGTACTGCCTCCCGGCATTATTATCATTGCAATCGCCTGTGTCTTGTTTCCTACCTTATCCCCTTGCATCCCAAGTAGCTCGAGTCAGTCCTGGGCCAACCGATACCAAGGTACCCAGAACGTCCCTGGGTTACCAGGTTACCAGGTTACCAGGTGACTAGGTACCTTTTGACTCTCTGCAAAAGACCCGATTGGGTATCCATCTTCTATCAATGCTGTCATCATGCAACCTACGCCAACCCCAGTTCCATCACCGAACAGCGAGAGTGACAAGAGCACCTCGGATTCCCTCGACTCGCACGCAGACTGGGCACGAAAAGTCGACGACGGTATAAGAAGACTGCAGGTGGCAATTGCTATCACAAAGGACATCCTGTCCAGTCCGACCTGTGATTCCTCGACACGGAAGGAGTGCGTGAAGAAGAAGGGGGACAATGGACCCGTGTCAAGCTCTCTACAAATCAACGACCCCTCCAGGCACTGTGAGCTTTCTCAGGATGAGGATCTGTCTGGTACGCTCTTACGGATCCTGACTATGATCCAAAATCATGAAGAGCCCCCCAATCCTAGGCCTCGGCAGCCAGTACCACCCCTCAAGGCGTTCCCCAGGTTGAACCTTGCTCTACGACACGTCCATGAATGCTTTCTGACTCCTTCTACGATGGGGAAACGTGGGGGACCGTTTCAACTGCTGATCACGGAATCGACCCCTTTTGAGGATAAGCCCGATGGAAGGTTCAGAGATGCTTTCAAAAGGAGACGACCCAACCAGATCAGGGCATCGTGGTATCGGATTCGTGGTATAAGACTTACATATGCAAAACTTCTCTCTGATCGTTATCTGTGCGACTGTGCTTACTTCGCTTTCAATCACATTGCTACTTTTGAATTCGTGTCGCAAATCAAGCCAAATGAGGATCCAAAACATCTATATGTAAGATTGCTCATATTATTGGCGAAAAATGCTCAAGAGGAAACAGCAAAAGACTCTGGGAGCGACCTGCTTAGGAAAACCCCATGGCAAGCGGATCAAGTAGCAATCGGGATTATGACTATGCTAGTAGCTTTCCTTCTGGAGAAGGGGAGGATACCGCATGGCTATCAGGAACTTCGCGATGGACGGGGCAGGGTCTTTTATCTGAATTATCGCGATGGGTCATTGAGGAGGAATCTAGCCGACTGTTTTGCCCCGAGTGAACCATCCAAGGACTCTGAGAGGGGTCGTCGATACCGGAGACGCCGAAAGCAAATTCTTTACAGGACACATAATGGCATAACTCCAATTCTTCCGCGTAAGAAATACAAAGGCCCGTTCACCAAGATTGCTTCAGGCAATGAGTCGATGCGAAAGGGAAATCCCGAGACACAATCCAAAGATCAACCGTCTCATTCTGGGACGGACGGTAACATGAAGCGATCTCCATTTGTTGGACAGGTATCCCGAAACTGTCAAAGAGCGAGAGATTCCGTGTCGAATTTCGAGCAACGTATAGAGATATTGGTGCAACTTTTAACTCAAGGCACAACTCTGACCCCAAAAGAAGAAATACTGAACAGAAAATTCCTATCACCAGAGAGGCCAATCTCACCACAGGAGGAACATGCATCACTTTTAAAGGGTTTGGCAGCATTAGAGCAAAGAAGTTTGAATGATAACGAATACCCTCATTGTCATTACCTAGACCTCTTAAAAATAGACTGGTCCAACCTGTCAATCGAAGTCAAATATGTTTGCTACACGTTATCCGTCTATCATTTGAAGACATGCTAACACCTTACTAGTGGTACTGGAATCGATGGCTCAAACGTCACCGAGACTATCGCTATCGATATTCCCAATGGCAGGACTGCGTTGCAAGTATCCGACGTCCCAAATTCGTTACCCAAGATGAAAGAGTGAGGTTCGAGGTCATCGCCAATCAGACCGATGAACAGATTGCGGAAGATACTAAGCTCGATGTCAACTGGTCTATTGAAAGGGCATTCTACTCGAGAACGGATTCCTTTGAAATACCTGATGAGGCGTCCCACCCTCAAGCTGTTACCCCCTCGATGGCAGACCCGAAACCAGCAAGTAAGAAACATTCAAAGCGTAAAGGAAAGAAGAAGCAAAAGGGCCGGAGGTTTCACAAGTAAGACGACAAAACAACTGATAACGATTAAGAACTGCCACAGATATTGCAGATTCCGCATGAGATGCACTAGATGACAAAACTCCTACGTGGACCCAAAAGATACGAACCCGCCCAAGAGAGGGAAGAAACACAGGCGCAGATCAAGAGCTTACAGCTCGAGAGCTGCTTATAGGGCCACCAGCGCTGACATGATAAGAAATATAAATAACCAACCTCAAGGAAAGCACTCACTCGTTCTAGATAGATATCCACACTCTCTCTCACCAGCACAACTTCTCCTTTCAACTCGCAGGTATGTTTACATGGCTTCGATAGATAGATACATACGGACTTCCAGTCTACCCAGCGTTCAATAGATAGATAACCGTCCACCGCCCGCCACGCAATGCAATGCATTTTGATTTCCGTTCCTGCTCCGTATGCACTGGTGTTACACGGGGTCGAAATAGGCTAATTTTTGACCCCTGAGTTGGTGACTACTCCTTCAACACCCCCTTTTATATGGACCATTCTTTGCATGAAAAAATGAAACATTTCGTGGGATTTGCACCTATCCCATAATCATACCTTTCAACCCGGCTGCATCTCCTTCTTTCGCTGCGATTTCGAAGTAGCCATAGATGATGCTAGACTCGGGTCAGTAACCAAGATATTGGGCAGGAAAGGATGAACTTACGTAACAGCCAACAAGATACCGGTACCGGATCCAAGGGCTCCCATCAAGTCACTGGCCACGGAAAGACCACCAATGCAAGCTCCACCGAAAGCAGCAGCGGTAGGAATGATACGCTTCAATTCCTTGTACATACTCTGCTCTCTGTGGCCAGCCATGACGAGTCCTTGGTCCTTGAGCTGCTTTGCGACATCCCTTGGGCTAGATCCGGACACCTCAATCCAAGTCTTGGAGAACACGGCACAGGCAATAAGCATATACGAGATGTAAATAGCAGTGTGGAGAGGATCGAGGAGAGCGTCGGTGAAGTTCAGTGGAGGAGACATGTAGTAGGCGATACCGGAGGTAGCAAAAAGTTGAGCAGATCCATCCTTTGGCTCCCAAACGCCAAAGAGTCGGACAAGCAGGTTGTCGGAGAAGCGAGAGTAGAGCATTTGGCTGATGAGGAAAACGTTAGAGGACAGAGCGGACTGCAGCATAATAGGCATGTTGGAGGTATAGAAGAGGCGGACTGGGTATGATCCGCGGGCACCACGCTGGCGGGAAGACTTGACTGGAATTTCGACGCGGAATCCTTGGAGGTAGATCACGGCGGCAAAGACGACAAGGGTGGCGAGCAGATTCATGATGTTGGGCAGGTTTTGTCTGTAAAATGCCTCCTGGAGAGCGCGCTGCTTGTCTGGCCAGGTGAACAACAGGTGGAACAGTGCAATGACTGCTCCCTCGAATTCTGGTCCACGTCCGGTGTTAATGGTGGTTGGGGAGAAAGCCTTCCAGACAATGGACTCGCAGATGTTGGTCGCAATGAAAAGGGAGATACCGCTTCCAAGACCATATCCCTTCTGGAGAAGCTCGTCAAGGAGAATGACAATCAAGCCAGCAACAACCAATTGGAGGATCAGGAGGAAGACAATGCCAGCACCAAGGTCAGATGGTTGACCGTAAAGACCAGTGAAGACGTAGACAGTAGCCTGACCCATGGACAGAATAACGGCGAAGAGCTTTTGCGCAGTCTGGTACAGCTCGCGATCCGATTTCAAGTCAAGGTTGACATCAATCAAGTGGGTGCCAGCGAGGAGCTGGAAGACCATTCCAGAGGAGATAATAGGGGTGATACCCAATTCCATCAGAGTCCCTCTGTTACTCGCCATCATCATTCGCAGCCAGTATATGGGATCCGAACTGTCTGAAGATACAATGCCATACAATGGCATCTGGCTCATTACCAAGAATATCAATAATGTTAAACCAGTCCACATCAGCTTCTGGTTGAAGGGCACCTTCGTCTCGGGTTGCTGGACCTCAGGGAGGACCGGCGAGAAGGGCTTGATGAGATCGAGGAATCGAACTGTCCAGAGGCAACAAACGCATGGTCAGCTTGGTTGTCATTGAAATCAGGAGATACCCATGAAGCTCGCGCGACAGCTTGGGGGGTAAGGGGGTTGGACTTACGGCCACTCATCTTGGCGGATTAACACTGAAGACCTCACTGACGTGGAATAGAACGAAGAAGGAGAAGGATATTAAGGAGTGACGTTAAAAGGAGCCGCCGACTCTGCTCTTATGATCGCAGGAAGTGCGCGCGTTGAGTGAAGTGTCCGTAAGGAAATAAGTAGTGACCACGGCGCCTCGTACCGAACAGATCTCCCAATCTGGAGCTTCTCGCTTGGAATTTTTTGGGGACAATGTGGCCTCTGCCTAAGGCGCCGATATTGAGAGCCTGAGGCTGCAATAGCACGTGAGACACCAGATTTCGAATTGGCAAATCAGAACCTCACCATTGAGCCCCTGAGCCCCTGGACCGATCGGAACGCCTCTCCTGGGTGTGAGTTTAGGATGAACCAGTACCGAAGAGCAGAAAAAGCGCCAAAAGTCGATCAGGCTGATCGCGGGTTCTAACGCCTTGTGTTTAAGCCTTCTTGCGCGCCTTACTTGCGAATATTCAAGCCTTGCGACGGACGACTTTACCAAGCTACCAGGCCCCTGGAAACCACCAGACCAAAACCAGATGTACGAATGCTACGCCAGCTATATAGATCTTCAAGAAATGTAGTTATGGCAAAGAAGCCGCCTAAGAATCCTCTGCTGGTGGTTCTCGGTGCGACGGGGACCGGCAAATCCCAAGTAACTCAGCCCTCCCCTCTGTCAACGAACTTTCAACTAACACATACTCAAAGCTCGCAGTGGCATTAGCGACTCGATTCAATGGCGAGATTATCAATGGCGATGCCATGCAGATGTATGACGGTCTGCCCATCATTACAAACAAGATCACGGTGGAAGAGCAAAATGGGATACCGCATCATTTACTTGGATTTATAGCTCTCGACGAGGAGCCATGGCGAGTGGGATTATTTAAGAGAAAGGCCAGCCAAATAATACGAGAGATCCGGTCGAGAGGACGGGTGCCAATTCTCGTTGGAGGAACACATTACTACACCCAGTCCCTTCTTTTTGATGATTCTTTGGTCACTGCGCAGGGCGAAGGAGAGGAACAGGTGCAGACGGAGCTTTCGAACCAAGAAATCTCCGAAAAATTCCCTATTCTTGATGGGCCAACAGAGGCAATGATTGAACGATTAAAGGAAGTAGACCCAGTGATGGCAGATCGGTGGCATCCCAATGATAGGCGGAAAATACGACGGTCACTAGAGATATTCCTTTTGACTGGCAAGAGAGCATCAGACGTTTACGCGGAACAAAAAGAAAACAAGAGCCTCGCCAAGAAGGCCGGGGATTCCCAGGAAGAAGACACAATATCCCAGTCAGCGTCTGAGAATATATCGCCGCTACTGTTCTGGGTCCATGCTGAATCTGAGACGCTTAAAGCTCGACTGGATGCCAGAGTCGATAAGATGATGGAGGCTGGCTTGCTAGACGAAGTAAAATCGATGGGCAATTTCCTCCGTCATCACGCAAAGCTTGGTCAAGACGTTGACCGTTCTCGGGGGATCTGGGTTTCGATAGGGTGGAAAGAGTTCGAGCGGTATCTCTCTGCGCTCGAAACCGACCCTGAATCTCAGGGAAAGCTGGACGAGCTATTTGCATTGTCAATAGAGCAAGTTAAATCTGCTACACGTCAATACGCAAAACGCCAAACGCGATGGATCCGCTTGAAGCTCATCCCAGCTCTATCAAACCAGAATCTCCTCGACAAATTATATCTTTTGGACGGCACTGATGTCACGCGTTGGACGGAAGCCGTCGAAGACCCTGCTATCGATATCACTGCAAGTTTCCTGGCTGGCGAAGAGCTTCGCGCTGCCAGCGAATTATCCGATGCTGCTAAACAATTCCTGACCCCAGAGAGATCGTTTGAATTTGCAGATAGGAGAGATCTATGGGTCCGACACGAGTGCGAGCTTTGCCACACGATATCGGTAACAGAAGAGCAATGGGAGAGCCATCTCAAAAGCCGTGGCCATCGACGGCTTGTCAAAAAGCAACTCAGAAATGCCGGCAGCGGTAGGTCTCCCCTTCCGAATAATGAAAGTGCGCCAGCATCAGAGGAGGTGTCTGGATAAGATGTTGATCGTTTTATTCATGATCTATATACCTATGCATCATGGCTTATGAGCCTTGCTTTCATATCTAAGACCGAATTTGGACTTCTCTTCAAATGAGAAAACTGCTGTGGCAAGAGCCGAGATGCTGAACCACGAAAACTATCTACAGTAGAAAACCAGACCAATATAAAACAACATAATCATTTCACAGAAATATTGCCAAATTTTATCTCTTTAATAACTCTTAATTCATATTCTCATTTCCGCTAAAGCATTATCCAGCATGCTTTGATGCCTGTAGCTGATATATCTATCATCTATATGCTATTTTTATTCAAACGTCTATCATCAGAAGTCATGAATCCTGCCCATGCTATGCTAAAGCACTTTTGGTGGCTCAATGCTATATATACTCGGTAACGCGCTCTACCACCAACGCCATATTACCATGCCAACCAAGCAACCCAACCATTAGGGTATTTTCTAGCCCAAAACTTTCTCATCTCATCGGTGAAGAGGACCCAGAGACCGAACGCAATCGGCAAGAAGAAGTATTCGACCGGGATGCCAGACGAGCCGATGGCCCTCGCGAGACCGGGAATATAGAGGAAGATGAAAATGACTACCAAGGCGAAAAGAATGGCCGGGAAGAGATATAGATTCTGCGTCGCTTTGTTGAAAGCGGGAGGTTGTTGGAAGATTGAGAGTCTCCGCGTCCTGGTTGCCATCAAGTTGAACCATTGCCTATCAGATTTGTTAATAAAAAATTAAACCGTTTAGAGAAGAGATCATCTTACATGATGACAAGATTGACGAAGTAGATGGACGACGCTTCAGCCAGGACCTTATTCACGTAGGCGGTGTCGTTGTAAGGAGGGTAAGATGGATAAATTCCATATGAAAGCCATAGAGCGGAGAAACGGATGCCTTTGCGTTGCGCATACCAGTAGGAGACTGCAAACGAAGACACCGTCTCTTGCACACCGAGGAAGATGTAGGCGTGGAAGAGGAGTCTCCAGTTGACAAGCTTATCCTTTTTTATGTTTCGAGGCTTGCGCAGAAGGACATCCGCCTCTGGCTTCTCGTACGCAAGAACGGTGGCAGCAGCGCAATCAGTAAGACAGCAAATCATAATCATCAGAAAAGAACTGAGAATTTGGGGAAGACCGAGGAGGACGCTCGTCATGATAGGCCAGAACTCGGAGAAAGTACCAGCGGGAAGAAGGTAGATGATAGTCTTCTTGAGATTGTCGAAGACAACGCGGCCGTATTTCACAGCTTCGACAACGGCACCGAAGGAATCAAGGAGGACCATGTCCGCAGCTTCGATAGCGATGTCAGAACCACTTCCAAGGGCAATACCAATATCAGCGGCTTTCAGGGAGGGTGCGTCGTTTACTCCATCTCCGGTCATTCCGACTATATTTTCCCGTTTCTGGAATTCTGCACATTAAGTTAGATTATGGATCGAGTAAGTAAACAGCAATAGGCGGCTTACCCTTAACAATGCGAAGCTTTTGTTCTGGCGTTGTACGAGCAAAGACAATCTCTTCGTATTGGCAGAGCTGATCCCATTGGTTGTCATTAAGTGTGATGAGCTCGGGGCCACTGAGCGTGATTGATCGAGCGGTACCCCCATTTGTCCATTCGAGATCCTTCTCACTAACACTTGGGCCGTCCTGTTTAGGAACAACAGGGTCTCTTGAGAGCATCGATATATCATGGACCATGGACGCGGGATTGCTGATGATACCACACTCAATTGCGATTGCCTGGGCAGTGAGTTTGAAGTCACCAGTAACCATGAAGATTCTGATGCCAGCGCCGCGGAGGATACGCATCACGTCCGGAATCTCATCTCTAGGAGGATCAACGATACCAATAAGCCCGACCAAGGTCAGATCATTACCAGCCTGGTGCATTATTTCCTTCTCGAAATCGTTGTTCTCCGGGACGTGGGTGCTTTGATGTCCTGGGAGGATTTTTCTTGCGAGGAGGATAACACGCTTCCCTTCGCTTGACCACTTGTTTTTGATCTCTTCAATCGCTGTCTTCATTTCCGGGGTAAGAGAGCACACGTTGCCGTTCTCATCAACGTATGCGGTACAGCGCTCGACGATAATATCAGGTGCCCCTTTAATCGTCAGAAGAAGATCATCCGATTTCCATGCTTCTGCCTCGCTGGGTGAAAGAGCAGCTTTGAGTCCTGAGGGGTCCGTCAACGCCAAAGTGCGGATCATGAACTTGTTCTTGCTGTTGAATGCCAGCTCGAAAGTCTTTTTCCATAGTAATTGTAGGTCACGAACCGGTCCTAAGCTCTCTGACAATCGAAGCACGGCCTGATCCGTAGCATCCCCAGCAATCTTACGTTCTGCGAGTGGGAGGTCGATAGTAGCAGCATCAAACTCCCCAGCATTGCAGAGTCCAGCAAGTAAGCGGAGCTGGGCTACTGAGCTATGGGATTCTCCAGAGGAGATCATGAAGTCTCTAGCCTCTTCTGGTGTCATAGTCTTTGTCCCAACTGAACAATGAGTGGCAAACATTTTGTTCTATCTAGAGATGAGTTTCGGTCCGCAAGTAATAAATATTGGGTGAAAAGACCATACCTTGGTCAATGTGCCTGTCTTATCCGAGCAAATCACCGACACGGCGCCAAGAGTCTCAACTGTCTTTAAGCTCTTGCAAAGGACCTGATTACTCTTCATGATTCCCGCCGTGATCGTCAAAGAGGCTGTAAGAGCAATCGGTAGACCCTCTGGGACAAAAGCCACTGCGACTGTAACAATATCAATGATAAGGCCACCAACGCTGATCCAGTTATGGTGGTCCTTTCGCAGCCAGGCACCCCAGCAGACGATGACGATAATGTTGAAAAAGATCATCATTGAACAGATGATAATCACGAATCTCATGATCTCCTTCTGAAGGGTGGATGAGCCGGTCTTTGGTGTATTTGTGAGCTTTGCAATCTTGCCAAAGACGGTCTTATCTCCAGTGCTGACAGTGATACCTAAAGCACTTCCCGATATGCAATGAGTGCCTTGCATACCGATGTTTTGGGTTTCTAGATAGTTCGCATCCGTAGAATCGACAGATCCAGGTATCGGCAAGGACTCGCCAGTTAGGATCGAACGGTCAAACTTCGCATCTGAAGAAACTTCCACGAATCGAACATCTGCGGGGAGCTTGTTGCCTGACTTGATGTAAATGATATCGCCTGGCACTAGGTCGACTGCCTGCAATTCGACTCGATTACCGTCTCGAAGGGCGAAACTACACGACCACGAAGTCAGTATCGAGATGTTAAGTGCTATCTCTATTCTCAAGACATGCTTGGAGACTGAACTGTCCCTGATGTTGATGACTCAATCCGGAAATGGGGTTTCTTACCAAGCCTCCGGGAGCATCCCAGAAATCGATGCCATCGTCTGGGAAGAAGACCAGTCCTGCCAGGCGTTGAAAAGAGCTTGAATGACGAAGACTGCAAATAGAACGATACAAAGGGCAAGATTGGCCACTTGCGGATCGGGCTCTCCAAGAGGTTTGTAAGTGATCGTAACAAGAATACCGGCGATGAGCAGGATAGAGCCAAACCCTCCAAACAGGTAGCCAAAGACCCGTGATAGCAAGTCACTAGGTGGCTTGGAGGGCATGTTTTTTCCAAACTCCTTGGCTTTCCTCTCCACCTGTTCCTGAGAAAGACCGTGAACGAGCGACGTCGATAAACGTGTCTCAACCTCGTTAATCGAGAGAGTGTGCCACTCAAGGTCGCCGAGTTCTGCAGCGGCATCTTTCTTTGCCCGTGTCGCCTCAATGCGTTCCTTTTCTTTCGTCTCTTCGATAGCGTACGAAACGGTCCGGTAGGTAATTGGCAGAGCAGTTGCGGGATCAATCGACGTTCGACGGCCTCTCATAGTCGACGTTGTCAACTGTGAGCTATTCGTGTTTGTCCGAGACAGCCTGGGGAGGTTGATCCGCTTGCCCGACTCCTCATCACGGCTCCCAAATCGAATCCTCGCACCAGGGCGTGGCTCCACGTGGAAGATCTCATCATCTCCCGAGTCTGCTGAAGCCACTGTGGTGGATGGCTCGACGAACTTTATTCCTTCTTCAGCCATTGTAAAGATGCGGTAATTGAGGGATGCTGACACTTGACCCCCGAAGAGAAAGAGGATGACAAGGCCCTTGTAACTAAGCAGGCTCACTCGCCTTCACAGCAGAGAAGCTTGTGTAGGTGGTTGAAGACAATTGGCTAACAAGACAAAAGAGGTGAACAGAAGACACAGAGGAGAAGACTTAAGTAACGGACAAAAGCCCTGATTAAAATGTGCAAAATGGTGCGAAAGTGCGCGAGCCAGGGCACAACGCTCTTCTCCAGTTTGCTTTGCCCTTGCTGCCCCGGAAATAGATGATGCACTGGACTATACTCTGTATAGCTGTATAGCCAACAGGACTTGCTACGCCTTTCTCACCGGCGGGTTCGTGGCGAAGCTTCTTACTAACTAATTGCAGGTCTCATGCCCAGACTGCCCAGACTTCCCCCCTCCCCGACTGCGGGATATAATCTTATATCGCGCAGTCAAATCTTACGGAGTATATCACGCAGCACTCAGGGAGGCGTGGGCCCGCCAGCACTCCAGCGAGCCTCTGGCCAATGGCCATGCCGCTTGAACATACCGCCGTCAACTGCAGAAGCGAAGCAGGGTCCTCGAGGCTTTCCTCAATCTGGTGTCACAAAAAAACCCTCATACAACAGAGCAGACGGGCCTGAGGCCTATAATAGCCCCAGGGAAGAATTTGCTCCCGCTTTCTGGAGCGGGGGGATGGTCTTTAGACTCTTCAAGGCAAGCCTTGCTCGGCCGCAGTAATTCTTGAACAGATTTTCATTCTCCCGGTGTCATAGCCCAGGAAAGGACCAGAGATATCAAAATTCGTGGGGGAGCGATGCAGAAACAAGCTTTTCTGGGCTCGTTTAGCACCCGCTCCCATACTGCCGAGATGCGCTGGGCCGGGGTGCAGCGAAACAAGTCACCTGTGGTTGGTCGAGCATCGACGACAAGAATAACCTCGAAGGATTCGCATCTGCTTTCGCCGCGACGATCTGCATTCACAACTATTCATCGCGATGCTTGTCCTGGTGTTGCATGCGCTGAAAGAACTGAAAGAACTGAGACACTGCAATTGTGGATCCAACAGCCAATCCATCATCGGGTAATTCCCCGCGCTCTGAAATTCGTTAACAGCTCCAGCGACGGACGCGTTCGAGCAGCTGTCAGCCTGTTCGTCTGTTGTGTTTCATATTGTGTCCTCCATGGGGCCTCTTCCCCGCGGCGGTGAGCCCACGTGGTGGCACGGCTCATCAGTTCAGGAACTTGAGCCTCTTCACAGCCTGGCTGATCCCCTTGACCAACGTAAAACAGTAAGATCGCCGCACGGCTGAGTGCCATCTGTCTCGGGACGGGCCTGTTTCCCAAAGGTCGAAACACAAACTGGGGGTTCCAGAACCGAACCTTGCATTGCGCAAGGTGCGCTAGTGGGAGCCGCCTTGTTAAACAGAAGTTCCAATTTGATCTGTGATGCTATCTATAGCGCATTTCCCGCCTCTAGTTTCCTGTCTATGCCATAGCAGCCATGAGATTCAATCATCCGAGAGGGCAAATTCGTAGTCCAGTTCAAGACGTTATATCTTCCAGAATGGTCTCCAGCTCTTCCTTTCGGAAAGGTACCGAAAGGATTTCAGTCCCTAACACATCCTTCCGACTCTGTATCATTTGGTGATCGTGAAACCTGTCGCAGGTCAGCAAGCTACTTCTCAATATCTTGGCCAAACTTACTCCTTGAGCAGCGTCCTAAAGCTCATTTCGCTGCTGCAAATGAATTCCTCGCACGCTTTCTGATACAGAACCTTATACTCAACGCCGGGCTCGTTCTTCCCGAAATTACCTGTGTGCCTATCATTATCATCATAATCATCATCATCATCAGCTCCTCCAAATCCAGTCCCTATACTTTCATCCATAGCCGCTAATTGTTCTCCTACCAAGACCCTGAATAGGTTTTTGGCATTCTCGGGTAAACTTTTCAGCACGAAGCTAACTCCTTCCTTTCCACCAACCCTCCTTCCGCTCCGACCCAGAAGCTCATGGACCTCTTCAACAACATCCATTTCCGAAGTATAGGGCTGGAAGGTCGTACAGTCATGGAACAGAAAGTTGAAAGTCGAACGCAGCGAGCTGTCCCAGAGAAGTGGGAATGAAGGGTGGTCGGCCGAAGCTACTAAATGGATCTGAGGATGTGAACTGAGACGTGAGAGTATTATCTGAGTTGTGGGTCGGCGAAGAGCAGTTCCATCGATGGAGTGGATCATCACAGTGACATTCTTAGTCTTGTCCTCCTCCAGGGTACTTATGAGCTTCTCAAGCATTTCAGCCGGTTGTGAGCCCAACTTTGCACCACTTTCAGAGACAGCCGCCGCTACAGTGTTCAGGATATCTCGTATGGTAAGATGCTGAACGTAGCCATTTATAACCACGATCTTGTTGTTGATATGATCCGTCTGTGCCTTGTAGATATGTTCCGCAAAATTCATGAGGAGAGACCTTTTAGAGCCCCATCCATAGACGCATATGTTGAAGTCTTGACTAAGCTCAAACAGCCACTGGTTAAAGAAAGTTGCATATAGCTTTTGCAAAGAGTCAAGATCAACACTGTGTGGATTTTCGTAACTGCGAACAAGGGCAAAATACTCTTCATGGTCGAGTAATGCCAGAGAAGAGAGATTGTTATCGGAGGTTTTGCTCCGCCCTCCTCGATTCTGTGAGAAATACACCTCGTGAGGTGGAAGGTCCCGGGTGGGTGTTGGAGACTTCTGTCGATTCTTTGATCCTTTAGGTCGCCCACGCTTCGAGGGAGTAGCAGGGACGCTTGCTGAAGTCTCGCCATTCATCTCTATCTCCTGTCCTGGCTCATCCTCATCCTCGGAATCATATATGTGGTGAGCTATGTCTTCATCCTCCTCATCATTATCGCTTGTATTTCCAAGTATTGTTCGCTCGATAAGAGTCCTGGTACTCTTTCTCCTGGCCGATCGATCGGCATGGCGTTCAAGTCTCGGAGTCTCGTTCGTATCACCAGCACTATTGGGCTTAACTGGGGTTGAGAAAAGGTTCTTGCCCTGAAACCTTTTGACTGGAGTCGTCCCGTTGGTCTGCCCTTTATTCGTACTGTGGCTTGCACGACCACTTCCCATTTTAATGGGTGTTAGAACATCTCCGCCATCTAAATCTTCACTATCCTCATCTGTAGCTTCTTCTGCAGTCCCATTTTCTTCATTCGTGTCGTCCGCGGCGTGTTCTTCCGTTGGATGTGTTGAGTCATGGCCATTTGCGCCATTCTCCCTACCCCTTCGGAAAGACCTCCTTCTTCCAGTAGTAGCTTTCAATGAATTTCGCTCATCGTCCTCCTCCGGGCTTGATATAGTTCTGCTTCCTGATCGCGCTCTCTTCTGGGTCGGCTCGTTATCGTGCCCATTGGACAATTCTTCGACTTGCTTTCTTCGCTTCATTTTGGCAGAAACTAGAAACCAGAATTAGTATCTTCTTTAGATAAATTGAAGACCTCATATACACACTCTATATCATGATCCTTTGAAGGTCTTTAGTCGCATAATTCCCCTTTTTAACGACCAGGCTTAACTTTGGGTATCTCAACTGGCATTTAAGGTTTATTCCGCGTTAGCGCTAAGGACGGGAGTGACCCGCAGAATGCAGTTGCCATCAGAAGTTGACCGGGGTCGCGCGTCAGAAATCCAAAGTAAACAAAGCCTTCGAGAAAGCCAAATACTCTGCGAATTGAGCTCATTACCACCACAAGGCTCGCAAACCATCTTTATGTTTAAGACTTATTGATGGCGGAGGTATCTCGCTAATTCCTCTAAGAGCTCAGTTTACCCAGAATGCTCAATTGGTGGTTAGGCCGTCCTACCGAAAGGGACCGCGTTCAAGGTACATTTGACAGCTACGAGATGCACATCTTATTCACCATATCTTGCTGACAATATCCAGATGAGGATAACCCAGATCAGGAGCCCCCAGAGACCCCAGCCCCTGTTTTTGCTGCTCGTGCTTTGAAGAGCGCGCTGTTTGGGACTCCAGCCCCACCCGAGGGGAATACCATCCACGAAATCGAGACGCCGACAAAAATGGCTGGCAAAGATATCCAGAAGCCCCAGGCACGCAGCCTATCTCCAAGTAGACTCCCCGGTATTTTGCTAACTCCGGGGACCGCGACCTCGCGACGCAAGACTGTGTCTTTTGGCACTGAGGTGGTCGACAAGGGCAAGAAGGACGAGAAGGACGCGGAGGGGGCAGTGATAAAAAATGGAAGGAATATGTCGGCACAGAAACCAGAAGAGCTCTTTAAACCTACTCGCAAGACCTCTCTTACTCGAACTTTGGAATCGGCCCGGGAATCGCAGACAGAAAAGAGCCGCTCAGAAATGAATCGTGGTTCTTCCGAATCGAAGCCATTGGTCGATCTCAATCCAGGAGCTGAAGACGCAGTTGCTGTACAATCAACCGATATTTGGCCAAGCAAACTGCAGTCAAGCAGTCGGGACGTAGTGCAAGAATCAATTCCCTATGACGAATTCGATGGCGACATGACAATGGATTTGAATGAACCCCATTCTCAATCAGGAAAGTACTGGAAATCGGAATATGAGCAGTATCATAAAGAAGCAAGGGCCGAGATGCAGAAGCTTCTGAAGTACAAACAGCTTGCGAAATCCTACGCCAGGAAGAAAGATGCTGAGGCGATTGAGCTTACCGAGAAGTTGAAAGAAGAGCAACGGCGAGTTCTCAGCATGGAAGACAAAATATCAAAATTGTCTGCGCAGATAGCGACGACCGGCTTGGATGGGGAAGAAGATGAATCTCCGGAATTAGTCAAAGAATTAGCGCGACAGACTGCCATGGCTCTACAATACAAGGCCCAGGTAGAAGAGTTCCGACTAGCACTAGAAGGAAACACTGGTTCTGGTGAGGGAAAACAGATCATCTCTCCACGGACCGAGCAAACCCTCCTTGACACCCAACGTGAACTCAGGAAAGCACGAGAGCAACTGAGGGAATTAGCATCATTACGCGAGGAAATGAAAGGTCTACGGCGAACTCTATCAAACGCAGAGAAGGAGGCTTCGAAACTTCGGGAAGAGAACGCGAAATTGAAGCAGGATCTTCTCCATGCTGACTTGCGCCTCGAGAAGGAAGAGAAAAAATCAGAAAGACACCGCGAGGCCTCCGAGGAGCAAATTCAAAAGAAAGATGAAGCATACAAGAGCCTCCAACAAGACTACATTGCACTCAAGGAGATAGCGAAATCACAGCGTCGAGATGCTGAATACCTTCTGAAAAAGCGGCACGACCAAGTAGCTGGACTTAAGAAGGAACTGGCATCTATGAAAGACTCAGAGTCGACCATAAAAACTCTTCAGGAAACTCTGCAAAAGAAGTCGAGCGAGCATGAGGAGATTGTTGCAAAATACCAAAAACAAATCGATCAGCTCAGGGGAAGAGCGCGTTTGGAGGGTGGAACCGATCCGATTGATATCTTTCTCGCTCAGGGGCAGAAGAAAGACAAACCGGTGCATTCCGATTCAGTGACGAAATCTTCACGCCCAGATACTACTTCCAATACACGCGATAGCCTCATTCCGGTCTTGAGCCACTCGACCTCTCGTCCATCAAAAACCTTGGCATCTTCAAGACAGGCCCATTCCGAGATACCCGATGGTCCCCCCGTTCCTCAGTCATCGCATTTAGCATTATCAGAGATTGTCAATAACGCAGGTACAGAACGACTACCTTCTAGAAGGTCAGACCCAATCGGATATACCCCCCTTTCCAATCGATTCTCGAATATGTCATTAGAGGATCCAGATATGGAACTACCATCACCTGAGCCATCTTTATCCCATATTACGGGCCGTACTATACATGAGAGGAATTGCCAAGCAAGTCCACGCCCGTCAATGTTCAACATGGGGTCAAGCCCTCCAAAATCAACTATAGTACGGCCTCGAGCCTCCGATGAGCTGCCTCGGGAAAGGCCGGTTGCGAATCATGTTGCACGACGAAATACTTATTTGGCTTCAAGTCGACTTTCTTCTTTGGAAGGCTCCAGAACTAGGTGCACCTTGCCCCCGGAAAGGGCTGCAGCTGCTAGAGCAAGGTTGGAGCAGAAGAACGCAGAGAAGAAGAGGGCTCAGGCAATTGGGACCGAAAAAGAGAATACCCGGAATTGAGCGTTAAATCACGCCTATGCACAGCGTACGGCTTGTACCATGATACCATATTGTAGGAGTTCGGTGTGGATGCATCAAGGAGTTCAGTGAGTTGTAGTGAGTTGGTCTATTATTCATGGGTACTTGGCATTTCAAGTTAGAGGGAATCCATGCGAGGCATCAATACTGTATTTTTTTAGTGGTCGCGATAGGCACAAACACAGTTTACGATGGTGGACCTTAAACTACGACCCCATATACCTACATTACCTCGGTGGCTTATGAATATAGGGGGGACTAATCGTCGGCTCGCTTATCACCAGTGGTGTGGAAATGGATAGAGCAGTGACGGAGCCTATCGATATTTCATGGCAGTCTATTGCGAATCATGGTACCTATATAATATACCATATTCCCGGCTCCTCCTTCCCAGTAACCGCGCTCAGATTAAGGGTTTTCGGGCGGCTACAGTACAGTACCTACTGTACCTACCTAGACTTCCATGCTTTTACCCCACACATCGATGCAGGGGCCCTGACAAACCCCCCTGACGCTAATGCTTAAATTGTTCCTGGAAAGGCGGGAACTGCAATGAGCCGCTGCCGCTTCCCTAACTCTGACGAGTGCGTTCCTTTATCTGCAGTTCCTTGTCCATCATTTCAAGATGTCTGATGATGCTAATTGCCCAGCGGGGTTTTGCCTGGAAGAGATTCTTTGTTTTGTGAGATCTAAGCAAGGAGTCTTCACAGACTTTAGGCAGTGACGGCGTAGTCCTGGACTAGCGCTGCCTATTCAGGACGATATCTTTGAACTTGGCTTGATTTTGTTTGGAACTATGATAGGGAGGTCAACTTACTATAAGTTTCTCGGAGGCAGAGATTGAAGCTCGATATTGGAAGTACGAGTTTGTTGAACCAATGTCTCTGAGGTCAGTTGGAGACTTGATCATGCATTGCCAATGCTACCTATTATCACAGTGTCAAGGTATGCAGGTGTCAGATGATAATCTATTTGTAACTTACGAATGATCGTTCTCAAGGTTCGATACAGAGTCTGCGCATTGCTAGAATAGGGTTCGGCAGTGAGCATGCATCTGGCCGAACAGATTCAAGACAGACCCCTCGGGAAAGATCCAGTTGCGTGGTCTGTGTGATGCCATCCAGGCATGTAGCCGCTTTGGAGGCCCAGGTATAATCTAGCTGATAATCATCAAATCCAGTTGTGGATTTTTTAACCACTGTTGCCCAATCCAATAAGTGTCTTGATCTTGTACCGAAATGCTCTATTTGTATCAAGTTAAGACAACTGGTTGAAAATTTGGTAACTGGACCTGCTCCCTACATAGATGCAGAGACAATGTATTAGAAAATAATGCCTAGGTAGGAAAAGAGGCAGGACCTTGCCTTGCACCACCCGCATGAACAACCTCGCTACCATGTTCAAAGAAAAAGGTAAGTACAAAGAGAAAGAATATTTGAATCGACGGGCAGTAGCAGGAAGAGGAACGGCATCTGGGCCAGCATACTCCGATATGCTTATGATAAAAGCAGCTTTGCTTTGGTGCTCCAAGCCAGGACAAGCACGAGGAGGCAAACCGGCCATCAGATGTGGATCATGTGAACTGTGAGACGATAAACCGGTAGCGGGTATCAAAGCAAATGGAACCAATTTCAAATTTCTACTCAGAGTACCACCGGCTTGGAAACGGAAATACAAAGTGCCCATCGGCAGCGTTTGTGTGTCCATAAACGTGACAGCTTCTCTCTGAATCAGGCATCTTTCCCAAGACACGTGGGTGTCGTAAGTTGAGTACGGCCTTGGCTCGGTCATCGATGTACCTATCTAGTAGGCACTAGGTAGACAGGTTCCGGAGTAGCAGCATCTTGAGCTTAGATAGCTTCTAATAGACCTGAAACACTTGGTCCGGATCCTGGAGGTTGTGGCAACGAACAGTTGGGAAGCCATCAAGAAAGACTGAATTGCTACACTGTTTCTCCTGTTTCTTCTGCCTCTTTGCTAGGTATATCTGATATCACGATCACTTGGTCACAGCTCTGTCTCTAGAGAGCCATACACTGTTCTCCGATCCGAATCATCGCAGTATCTATTTCGTGTTAGCCTAATGGATCAAAGTCACTTAGATTCGAGATGAAAGCAAATACTACAGTACCCAACAAATTCATGTTTGATTCCTGTGTCTATATGAGGAGTATCAAGTAGACGCAGCCAGATGGTGGTGGCGTCTATAAATAAAACCCTGACCGCTAGCGATAAGGGAGAGTGGCCGATAAGGAGCGGACCCTCCTTTATCGCCTGAAACCTTAAATGGTGATCCCTGCAAGTTTTGCACAGCGGGCCTACCGAGCCGCTCAGTCATCCTACTTCCGAAGCCTTTTAACGAACGAGCGCCCTCTTCCGACTTCCAAGGACCTGCACATCCCAATACGAAGTGCTTCACTTCACCTCTAAGGACAACCGCCATCTCCCGTCTCTAGTTCCCTTTTCTTTATCTTTTTCCTTTTCTCGTCTCTTCCAGACACGATCCTCTCCAAGACAGGCGCTTCTCCCTCTTTCATCACCTGTCTTTGCCACGATTCACTCTCGATTTATCTACGACGACCAAGCCCGCGAGACCAGAATCCTCAGTCTCAGCTTCATATTCGTGGCAATCTCTGTTACGCCGGACGTCCCCCTGCAGAGTTACGCGCCTCTGATACGTAACTTGATTCCCGCAACCGATCTACACTTCCAGCTGCGTGCCTACAACACCAACTCGACACCTAGTCTCCTCGATCTGTGATCCAAGATGTCTGCAGGTGCGCAACAACGTTTAATGAGTGAGCTCAAGGCACTCGAGAAGGAGAAATGGGTCAACATCGAGGCATGCAACCCGTTGATGTCCGCTAGCTTGCTCGTTATGCTAACTGTCCTCAACAGGTCAATGGCGGCAGCCTTTTCAAGTGGAATATCGGCCTGATGGTCATCAATCCCGAGAGCGCCTTTGACGGTGGATACTTCAATGTCAGTTCCACGTTTCTATGTGTCTGATCGATCTACTAATACCATCTACCTTAGGCCGAGATGACATTTACCGACAAATATCCGTTCAGCCCCCCTACCTTCAAATTCCTACGTCCGATCTACCACCCGAATATTTACCCAGATGGGAAGCTGTGCATCTCGATTCTGCATCCTCCCGGAGAGGACGAGCAGTCCGGAGAACTGGCTAGCGAGCGTTGGTCGCCTTTACAAGGGGTTGAATCTGTTCTCCGCTCGATCCTCCTGCTCCTTGATGATCCCGAGATCTCGTCCCCTGCCAATGTCGATGCTGGAGTAATGTATCGTGATAATAGAGAAGAATACAACCGGAAGGCTAAGGAGGCAGTGGAGGCTTCCAAAAAGGACATTCCGGAGGGCTTCGTCATACCAACGACTCTCGAAACTGCTCCTCCAGCGAAGGTGGTGGATGATGACGCCTTCTGGGCCGAGACTGATGCCGAAGATGACTTTGGTGCAAGCGATAGTTCTGGAGAGGATTTTGAGATGGATGAGGATGAGGACGAGGACGAAGATAGGGAGGGGCATGGAGATGAGGAAGAAGAGCTGGAGGAATGAAGTGAGCTCTACGGCATACACTAGAGACATTCTGGTTTGACGGAGTCCAGGGGAGGCTGTTCATTATGGTCACCAGGTTATTTTCTGTGATCTCCGGCATCATTTCTTTTCGTATCGTCCTGCATAGCGTGGCGATGGTCCATCTGGAACTTTAAGCGGCGTATGGAACAAGGCAGGCATTTTCTTCATCTACTGCATATTACACAGCAGATCGCTTGTGTTTCGAGATCTGGCGTACAGGGCTGGATGCACAATTCTCTGATAGATCAGCTATTTATGAGAGGAAGGATTACAGACTAGGTTTTATAAGGCTCTGGGGAGCCTATAGCTGTGATTATGGCAAATGAATCACATGAATCACAGGAATTGAAATACTAGAAGATAGCTTGCAGACGTGAATTACAAGAAGCCTTAGAAACCTGAAGGTTGAATACCTGTACCTACTAGGTAGTATTATATTCACTTTCGCACGTGCAAGGGTAAGCGCGACACCTACCTAGACGACAGGGATCGTCTTACCTAGAGCTCTATTTCGCGTACTTCTCGAACCGTCCTTTATGATCAAGCAAAACCAACCCCACCGACATGGACTGTAACGATTGAATAGCTTGCACGAAGCTCACTCACGTCTTTTGATTCGACATTCGCTCTTTATGGTTCGTAGAAAGAGGTTCTTTACTCAGACAAACCCCCGCCGCTACATATTGGGCTCGTGCTCTCTACCTTTTGAACGAGCACGAAAATGGCATCTTTCCAGCCAACGGAGGAAGATGTTGAGACCTTCTTGAGCATGGTCCCTGATCTAAGTCGCGCACAAGTGATTGCAAGGCTTAAGGTACGCTGAACTTACTCCTTCTAAACAAAGATGAAGCTCAACTAGACAGGGAAACAACAACAACGTTGATCAAGCCGTGAACGAATACTTCGACAACCTAGGTGGTCCTAATAAGGTTTCTCATTCAATGTTCCCGAGATCGGAGGTCAGAACACTGATCTGGTATATTAGTACGAATGGGACGAAGGCGCATTCCAGGCTGATCGAAATGGGCTGTCGAATACCCATGGCCCAGGTGAGCATCCCTTGCTTGCTGTTGGCGTCAGATACGATTGTGGAAGTTGTTTTTCTACTTCTGCAAATCCTCTCTTCTAAGTGAAGACGGTGCTGCATCTTCTGGTGTGCGTACATAATTGACCCTGTCTGTAGAATTCAATGTCCAATCTGCGGACGATACAGGACCCTTTGGAGGACGTTTCGACGGAGGCCTATCAAGACCACCCTCCAGGATAAGCAATACCAGGTTTCCCGGTAAGGTTGCAGACTTGTCCGCTGAGCTGAACCGGCGGCTAGTGTCACCAAGTATTCTATTTACAAACGCTGACGTGTGTTTAATCCAGCCGATACTTCAACATACGATGAAGGGGACAGGGATCTACATGAAGCACTCGCTGCCTCGAGGGCGGAGGCAGGCCTACCGCCCCAGGATACTGGGGTTATAAGTACAGATCAGCCATTCTTCGGTCCTGCAAATCGCAGCCAGTATGAGCCAGGCAAATGGGATTTAGTTCCCACAGGGAGAACTTATGCTCAAGAAATCCTGCTAGACCCTGAACCTGCGGAACGAAAACGGGAGCCTGATGCGCCTGCATTCCTCAAGCCAAGTGTCGAAGATCATCGTCTCGGAGCCCTGTTGACGATCTACCATGAGATACCCATTGTGCGAGAAATATTTCTAGATCGCAAAAATGTCGTCTCCAATTATGGTAGTGGTAATGAGTGGTGGACTGGGAAAGCGATCGAGCTCCCAACAATGAACGGACCCGCGGATCCTGGCAGCGAACTTAGACAAGAGATGCAACGCCTCATGGCGTTCTTAGACAAGACAGATCGGAGCTATGGCTCTGCTGATGCTTTAGCAAACTTACCTGCCGTCAAGGAGCAGCAGCGACATGCATTCGGGGATGGGGTTGAAGTTGCTGTTTTAAAGGCCTATCGTGAGCTTCTGGAGGATTCTGATTCTGTGGGCGCGATCAAAAAGCTTTTCAGCATAGGTGTGGATGGCCCTCAACAGACGAATTTTGAAGAGTTTGCCATACTCAGACTTGATCTACCTCCAAAGAACTCAGAGCTGGAGACAATCTACGATATCGCGGATGCAACACTGTGGAACCTTGGGCCGCTTGAGCCGCTTGAGCTCTCCAACAGCCCATATCTAAGTCATATTGCCGATGTCATTGTCTTCCAGCTCGATGGAGACTCGTCCAGTAAAGGCGTTGAAGTACCAGCTGTGTGGTATCCTGACCGCTATCTGGAATCTGGCAGACAGGCTGCTCTTGACATGCGGCTTAGAAAGAGTGATATCAAGGAGGCGCTACGTAGGATAGAGATTATGGAGGAAAGCTTGACGAATTATACCATCCCCGGGAAAAAGACGGTCAAAGTCCAAGACTTATTTAGAGCCACTCTGCAACATGATGCGGAAGAAATCAAGGATGACGCTGGCCTTGATCAAACAGGTGACAACCTTGAAGGAATACCATCTACTCAAAAATCTCCCATGACGAAGAACCTCTCCTCAGAAATTCGCAAGCTTATGAAAAGCATCGATCGGAAGCTCCTATGTAAGTATAATCACGTTCGTCAATACCTCAACTTTTCTGACACATCTCAGCTCTGAATGAAGAAAAGGAGAAGGCAAGAGATGCACTGCGACAGTTGTCTAAGCTTTACACTCAGCCTTCGGATGACCCAACCCAGCCGCCCCTCCACAAGTACACTCTTCGTGGTGTCAGCACTAGCAAAAGCACGATGTACATTTGCACACAGGCGGAATCCAATCTCATAGACCTAGATATCAAAGGTGATGATTCAAGGCCGAAAGGCGACCAATGGTGGAGGATAAGCTATGCATCATCAGGAACGAATCCTATTACTGTAGAGGTGCGTTTAAGATGTTTCCTAAGTTGTTTTCAGATTGTTCGGAGCATGTTACTGATATTGTTCAAAAGAAAACGACAGAAGAGACGGTTCTTGAAGCGGCAAGAACCTACAAGAGCGAAGATAAATTCTCACTGCTTGTCTATGCGAGTGATAAAGCCATGTCATGGGAGCGCCAACCATTGCCAAAGGCCCTTGAGGTTTGTGTTCTACTTGAAATACCTATCTTGCGTGTCTAATTCATGATAGACCTTTGTCCGTTACGACAATGCCTTGTTTAGGTCAGAGTTCCCGAACGAGGTTACTTCGCCTAAATCCCCAGGCAAACGCAAATTCGATTCCTCATCAGACGAGTCTTCGGAATCTGCCAAATGGAGCGGTGGAGTCAGCGTCAAGGGGGGTGAGAACGGCGTAAATGTTATTGAGAGGGAAATTGGGGGATCAGAGCCCGAAGATGGTGGAGCTCATGCGAATAGGAACGAGCGACACGAAGTGTTCATCGGCGTTGATCCATCAACCCACGCCAAAGCCGAGGGCTCATCTGCACGACAAGAGATGCAGGAACGGGGTAGCATGCGCATGCTATCTGGCAGAATTATAGGAAGTGCGGAGAATGCAACCACTGTGGATAGTATGGACTTGGATCCAGTGGTCGAAGATGACCATGTGGCAGAGGAGAGCGGGGCGGTCAAGCACGCTGGATCTAGCGCATGATGATAGGCACTGAGGTGAAGATGGGCCTGGACGGGACTATCAGCAATGGCCAAGAGAAACGACAGAGAGTCAAGAGTCAATATCAATAAAGGAGTACGTACCAATGTAGATAAAAATAACTCCGTTGATATATCATGTCATAGTCGATACTCGGGAGACCCCGGCCAGTCACGTGCTGATAGCGGTGGCTGGACCAATAGAACCTTCTGGAATGGTCGCCCCTCCAAGACGCAAACGTCACCGGTGGCTTCAGACCGGGAAGCGGGGGAACAGCAGTGACTGTTGTAGAAGTACTGGCCGAGTCAGGTCGATTTCTGCTATTTTCTGCTATATACAATCGTCTGCCCTCCAAGACTGCGAGAGAGACAGAGACGCTTTATAAAGACCCTCGACAAGATTCATTGGTCAATTGAGATTCCGAATTCAGTCTGTCATTTCTGTTCGCACAACATTCAAGGCTTTCTCACGTTGGTGCGACTCCGAGCAATCACACGATCAACAGCTGCTCACGACAACGACAACGACAACAACGACACAACCTGCCAGCAACACACATATCTAATCTCATCTGTTTCAACGGCTCATCCAGCCCGAAGCCAGACAATTGACTTGCAATTAATTCTGCTTTCCGTGCTCTGCCTCCCGTGAGGGGTCTCCACAAGTCATACAAACACCTTCACCGCAGATTCCCCGTTTCATAGCTTGACAGGACTGCAACCATGGTAGCAGAAACAAAGCTTTACGATTCCTTGGGCCTCAGCCCAAATGCATCTCAGGATGAGATCAAAAAGGCTTACCGGTAAGTGACACTGCGCGTCCTGTGCATAGCCTCACCGCAGGAGCATGAACTGACACACTTGTTTGTAGTAAAATGGCCCTAAAACACCATCCCGATAAGAACAAAGACAACCCAAAGTCGGCTGAGAAATTTAAGGAGGTCTCTCAGGCATACGAAATTCTGTCTGATCCAGAGAAGCGGAGCACGTACGATCAATACGGATTAGAGTTCATGCTTCGCGGAGGACCCCCACCTCCAGAGCCCGGTGCTGGACCAAACCCGTATGCCGGTGCAGGTGGCATGCCAGGCGGCTTCGACTTTGGAGGCATGCCAGGTGGACGACCGGGTGGTGTCCATTATGAATTCCGCACTGGTCCTGGAGGAGGCGGAGGATTCAGCTTCAGCAACCCTGAATCAATTTTCTCAGAGTTCCTCCGTGCCCAAGGAGGTATGGGCGGCAGTGATGGATTCGAGGATATGTTTGGCTCTGGTATGCCAAGATCAAGTGGTGGGTTTGGCGGTCGATCACGAAGTGCGCGGTTCGGTGGTGCGGAGCCGGCCTCGGCGGCTCCAGAGGTTACGACAGTCGTCAGACCTTTGCCTCTGACGCTAGAAGAGCTGTACAATGGTACGCATAAGAAGATGAAGATCAAGCGGAAAGCATTTGATGAGTTTACGGGGAAGAGAACGATTCAGGACAAGGTCTTGGAGATGGATATCAAGCCGGGTTTGAAGAAAGGCAGCAAAATCAAGTTCAAAGGTGTCGGGGATCAGGAAGAGGGAGGACAACAAGATCTGCACTTTGTTGTAGAGGAGGTAAGTTATTCCCCACCATGACCTCGTGGATGTTTTGCTAACAGGAAACACAGAAACCGCATCCCCTATTTACGCGTGACGGAGATGACATCCACCTCAAAGTCGATCTGGAACTCAAGGAAGCCCTCACGGGTTGGAGGCGCACTGTTACTACCATCGACGGCAAGCAAATCAACCTTGAAAGGGCTGGCCCAACCCAACCCGGGAGCCGCGACACCTACCCCAACTTGGGTATGCCACTGAGCAAGTCTCCGAACCAGAGAGGGAACTTCATCATAACCTACAACGTCAAGTTCCCTACCTCCTTGACGCCTCTGCAAAAGCAGAAGTTGAAGGAGATCCTGTGAGCTGGGCCGGAGATTCAACGAGTCTGAAAGTAGCGGAGTGAGGAGGAAAAGGGTGGTTCAAGAGCCTAGCAACAGGCATGTTTCTTTGTATTTATTTTGGCGTTCGGCGAAGGGAGCGATGATGGGAAGGGATGATTGATGAGAGCATGATGAGGCGTCACACTTCGTTTCTAGGGTTTCCTGGTCTTCTTTTCGAGTACATAGGTTTGTCTAGAATAATCGGCACAGCTTTTCTACCCATTTATTACCTTTCTCAGACTACAACCAAGACCCAAAGTATAAGCTGAGTTTAAATGTGAGTCAGAGTTTAATTAACAATTGATTTTGAATGTTCCCCGGTATCTACAGGTCTATATGCCCTCTACATTATATCTTACAACCAGTGAGTGGTAATAGTTCTACAAAGCGCCGCCAACCAACCCCACAATCCACAAAGCAATGCGAACATGAATGCCGACTCTCCTCTCGGTCTTCACAAACTCATCCATGCCGACCCTCCTTGCATACTCCTGCAAGCCATCCCTCTCCTCTCTCAACCTGGCCTTCAATCCCTCGTCGCTCGTGACGATCAGGGTCCCGGCCTCCAGGTCGAGGCTGTAGCTCCGCTTCGTGTAGTTGCTGCTCCCGACGATGCTGATGCTCGGCTCGGCCTCCCCGTTCACACTCACCCAGAGCCCCTTGGCGTGGTAGGTCCAGCCGCCGGGCTCGCCGACGGTGCCGCGCTTCCACTCCTTGAGCACGATGTCGTCGTGGTGGCGGGGTGACTGCTGGATGCGCTCGAGAAAGCGGCGGGAGAGGAGCGTGTAGGCGTCGGGAAGCAGGCCCGAGACGCCTTTGGAGCCGTAGAAGCCGTTGGCTTGCGGGGACGCGGTGATTACGGTGTTGGACGTGGAAGAGGTGGAGAGGAGAAGCGAGGTTAGTGATGGGTCTGGGTTGAAGTAGCCGGCCGTGAAGGTCCAGGATGAGGTGTTGAAGGTTGGGGAGCCGAGGATGCGGAGAATGGTGTGGATGGCGGGGAGTTCGGTGGAGGTGTCGGGTTTGAGAAGCGGCGTTAGTTGAGAGAGGGGGTAGACGGTTGTGTTTGTCTTGGGGACCCCGGGTGGAGTTGAGGATTGCGGCGCTTGGATGAGCTGGTTGAAGATAGTTGAGGAGATGGCGATGTATCCTTGGGGGTCTGCCAGAGGTGACGGGGCAGAGTTGGAAGAGGGCCATTCTAGGACGTATCCAGCTGGTAATTGAGCGTCCGGCGTGACCATGAAACTGAGATTGGAGACTGCATTATGGATGTTGAAGAAATAATCAGTGATCTCTTTTGAAGAGAAAACATGATATCGGTCTTGTCGGTTGGTGAAATAGTCATTCGAGAGGTTTGCCCTGAAAGCCTTGAGTTATTGAACATAGAATCTCCGGAGCGGGCTCCTACCCTGATATTATAATCTCATCGTCGATTCCGTAGAGCTTCATGTGCTGCAATCCCCAACCCTCATTGATGCGCTTTGGGACGTGTTTCTTTCGCAATCCTGTCAAATTCGGGGTATGATACATTCGAATCTCAACCCTCTCTGGTCCAAACTCTGCCACCAATGGCGCGAGTAGAGAAGCACATGAGGGGTTTGGGGATTCTCTCGTTCCTCTCAACGCATCTGTGAGAATACTGAGCTTCAAGGTCGGCGTGGCCCGGAGGGCTTTCTGAAGGGTGGAAATCTAGGCGGCGTCAATTGGGAGCCCCATGCTGTAAATTGGAACAGTTACAAGTTCATGCTCTGATTTCCCTATGTACAAGGTTGACAAGAATATCTGTGTCTTTGCATTTAATATCTTGGCCTATCTCCCATCAGCTCCAGGCCACACATATGCAGTGCATCTGCCCGACCTTCAATGTCTCGTAGAATTCCGATGGAGACCGCAAGATTTGTATCTGTGAGCCCTGGATCTCAAATCGTGGAGCTATCCTGTCCAACTCCGTCGTGAAGGTACCTAGGATCGAAGCTTGGGAAGGTCCATTGCCCGTCACAACGGCCGACGAGGTTGAGTATTTGCATTGCTTAACTTGCAGCAGTCGGGGCCGCCAGACTTGCAGTCTTCGAGTGGCAGAGCATCTTATGACACTCCGGACTATCATAGCCACTGCTGAGGCACTTCGTGAGGGAGAATCGAATGCGCGATCAATGTCTTGAATTTCGCAGTGCTTTGCTGCAGTGTGCTCCGTAGAGCTTGATAGGCTAGTACGAACTCGGAAATCGGTCGAGCCGAATCCCGTCTTCGAGATCGAACATCATCAACACTCGCCTCGTTCAACATCTGGAGCCATTGAACAGCCAGCACCATGTCTACGATCCTGAGAACCCTGCGCAACTTGCGCAGAATTGGTTTCAAAGTATGTATCTCATCTAGAGTGTACCCCCGAATTAGCTAACGTTGGCGATCATAGGAAGCCGGTCACCAAATGCAAGTACGTCTACCCGAACCATATCCTTCTCTCATTACAACGAGAACGTAGCTTACGGGTGTGTTTCTCCTCTAGTACATAGGTACATATTACGCCATTTTCTCTGCCTGGACTTGGAGCTCACATGTACTGCAGGTGATACCAAAGCCGGAACGTTTATCGCCAAGGACAAGTTCGGAAACAAATACTACGAGAACCTAGAGGAGGAATTGCCCTGTACGCTCTCCTAGAGACCCATATCGAAGGCCAAGAGCTCACTATCCTACAGTGCGGACAAGATGGGTGGACTACAAGGAGAAAGAAGTCGACCCGTAAATGCCCCTCCTTGGGTGATATGCGTGTGGCCAAAGTCCTGACCATTGGTATACAGAACACAAATCGAGCCCGGATGGCATGCCTGGCTTTCATATATGGTTGACAAGCCTCCCACCCAAGACCCTATCCTCCAAACGGGTGTACGGGCTTGGGAGTTGCCGGAACACCGACCGAACCCCAGTGCATCCCGTGGTGCTTTCAAAACATACTCTACGTGAGTCCATAGTCCAAGAAATCCTCAGGCTTTCTAGCTGATTCTTCTTTGCTACTTAGTACCAAGCCAAAGATCACTGCGTGGGAACCCAAAGTAGAGCAGAGGGTATAGTCGCCATAGTTGGAACTTGGTGGGGGTTCACTGTTTGTACATAACGCGGAAGAATCGGCGCTATCTCACTGAATTACAATCTATGCATCTTGAAGTCGTCCGTTTTATTCTGCTTGACTGATACTAGCAAGGTGATGGTTTCGCTGAGGCGTTGCGCCGAGTGGCTCACGCCGAAGTTTTTCAAGGGATCACCGACATCATATAAACCTATGTAAGCGGCATCCCCATCATCCCGAAGCGAAACTATTCACATCATAGGGGGGCAAAAATTGTCAATGGTGGATTAATCCACTCAAAAATATGTCTTCGATTCAAAAGCTTTCTGCTTATCAAAGCCAGCCCTTAGGTACTGATAGAAAATTGGCTGCCTCTTCCCTGTCAGGTAGTCTGAGCTGGGGCTAAACATGACTTGAGCCTATGTAACCTCTAAGGTGAATTGCCGTCTTCAAGAAAACTATTTGCTCCCAGCGGTCTCTCTATCAAGACCGGATGTGATCGTAATCTCCGTGATCATGTCCGGTAGTCTCCATTAATCGTAATATACTCATGGCTGTATTTCATTAGCCCAAATACCTTATAAATTCCTTAGTTGAGCTTACCTGTAATCGCAAGTCCAATAAACTGCCTCCTCCGTTCCACCTCCTAATCTGACAAGAATTTCCAAATCCTCGTGCTCCAAAATCTGTGCTGCACGTACCTCATCTACAGTTTCAGGCTCTCCATTGACCAAAAGCTTCAGCTCTGGAGACCCATCCGTAGGTATAAAAGAGACACTTGTCTTCTCAGGCAAAATCTCAGGAACGTTATTGATTGGTAAACCCGGTTCGGAGATCAAGGAATAGCCGGTAGCACAGAGAATACGGCCCCAGTTAGCATCCTTTCCATATAAAGCAGTCTTGACAAGCGGCGATCTCGCTATGGTGCTTGCAATCTTTCGAGCCACAAGCTCGGATGGAGACTCGGTCACACGGATAGTAACGAATTTGGTCGCACCTTCACCGTCTCGGACCACGAGCTTGGCGAGATCAGTTGCAAGTTCAGTTAAAGTATTCTGGAAAGCTGCATAATCTTCAGATGATTCAGAAGTTATCTCGTTTCCACCAGCTGCACCGTTGGCCAATACTGCCACTGTATCGTTCGTAGAGGTGTCGCCATCGATTGAGATGCTATTGAATGACTTGTTCACGGCATTGGTAAGGAGTGATTGGAGAAGGGCAGGTGCTACTGGGGCATCTGTAGCAATCATCCCTAATAAGGTTGCCATATTGGGATGAATCATGCCTGCTCCCTTTGTCATGCCCGCCATACGATATTCAATGGATGGCGAGGATGGTAGTGAGAACGTTCGGGATATAAGCTTTGGAAAAGTGTCTGTCGTGCATATTGCTCGGGCTGCATCTAGCCAATGGTTGTGCGATGCTCCCAGCGCATCGTAGGCCGCGGGAATCTTGTTCAGTATTTTCTGGATTGGTAATCTGTGAACAGAGCTCAGTTTCACGCCTCACTAAACGCAGAATGCACAATTCTTTTTACCTTTGGCCAATGACACCCGTGCTCATAACGATTGTGCTCCCTCCCTTGCCATCATTAGGCGCATCGAAACACTTATCGGCTTGCATGCCCATCTTTTCCGCATCCTCCATGCCACCCTTCCCTGTGACAGCGTTTGCACATCCAGAGTTGACAATAACAGAACGAATGCCGCTGTTATTTCTCCTCTTCAGCATTTCTCTGCTCACAGTTACAGGAGCTGCCTGGAACTTGTTCTTCGTGAAGACCGCGGCGGCAGCACATGGTGTTTCGGAAGCAAGAAATGCTAGGTCTGGAGTGCTCTTATTTGCCGGTTTCACTCCCACATACGTTCCCGAGACGAGAAAGCCTTTAGGATATGTGCCACTCGTAGGAACATACTTCTGTTTCGCCGGGGGAACAGTGCCAGCAAGAGGAGCAGAGTAGTGACGGAGGCCGCTGGCAGAGGAAGAGGATTGAGATTGGGAGGCTGTTGGTCTTATCAGGCGCGGGAAGGCCGATGCCGGCGAGGATCTGAGAGCCATTGGGGGCAATTGGAGGCAATTGGGAGCTCTGAAGACCCTCAAAATACCTGAACTGAGCTGTGAGCCCAGCAGATAGTCTTAGAGGCAATTGTAGGATTGATATACCTCCTTGTAAAGAGTCGTGAGTCAGAAAGTCAAGAAACGTTTTTTCCAGACCTCGCGCCCTTCGGGGCCAGAAACGGTTTAGCGCGGTGCGGGAAGGGTGGGGCGAAAGGCTAGCCTAATCCTTGCTCTCAGCCTCGTCGTGTTGACGCTGGCCGTGGCGGTGGGTATCTTTTGACTCCCCAGTCATCTAACACTTACTCACAACCAGAACCAGAACCAGAACCATTATTGCAAAATGAACAGCCCCAGTGCGTGAAGGTCCGTAGCCACGGCTACGAATCTATCCTAAATCGAAGTTTCCCATTCGATCAGACGCCAGTCAAACAACATGCCGCCAACTAATCCCTGGGGAAAGAAAACGCAACTCAATACCTCCTCGTCTGGGTTCCCAGGCTTGACGCCCACCAAAGGGAACGCAGCCCCATCCCCGTCTCCAAAATCTCAATATGAAGAAATCCAAGAGGACGAGCTCATTGCCTTGTCTTCAATATATGGAGAAGATTTCACCCAAATCGAAACCAATCATGTGGCATGGAAGGTAAGAACCGCCGATTTGGAACCACTAGGAGTATTCTAGCAAATAGACGGCACGATAAGCCGTCTGTATCTATCTAGCACGAAGATTATTTGACTGACTGTTGATCAGAAATCAGAGCCACAGTTTGAAATACGCATTAAATCCCCGGACGAAGATATAGCAGTGACTCTTGCTGCGACGCTCACGGCCACATATCCTAGAACGCCGCCTTTATTAAGTATCAAAGGGGATGAGGGGCTCCGAGAAGCAACACGATTTAAGATTCGAAAGGCGATTGAGGCCAAGGCTAAAGAGTTGGTGGCCGAGGAACAAGCTATGATAATGGAAATCGTCAACGTTTGCCAGGAGATATTAGACGAAGCAGCCGAAGCCAAGGCTGCAGGTCGAGAGCTTCCTAGCCTGGAAGAAGAGCGCGCTGCGCATGAATCAGCTGCGGCCAAACTAGCTGAAGAACAGAGACAGGAGGAAGAACGGAAGAAAAGACTTGAGAGTATGGAGCAAGAACGTATGTGCCTTCTCATTACAGCTTCCTGTATTAAGATGAACTCATGGTCACCTTATTATCTAACTGAGAAGACTTATTATTGAGTCAAAAGACGGATATCTATCCGTGTGATACTGCCACCTGAGTAACAGAAGTGTCTGAGCTTATGAGTCATCTTTCAGAAGTGTTCTATTCTCTGGTCCCGATAGAGTAATACTAACTCTAAGTCTTCAGGTATGCTTGGGTCATTGGTTCAAGACGAGCTTAAGCGTCAAAGAATAAAAGTAAAAGAGACGCAGCTCAAGAATCGGCCACCTCCGACTATGATACCTCAGTCACCTATGGATAAGAACTCCAATGGTCAAGCGCTCCATGAACTATTTACCTTTGATCAAACAATCAACTATACAGATGCTTCTGGAAACCCTTTTGTATTTCAGGCCGTAGCCGGTAAGGCCTTACTTCGTCGAGGTCCTATATCGAAGTGCTATACAGTTAGAGCACTCACTGCCGGCGAAGCTCCAACACTTGTCTTGAAACAGACAGACCTCGACACAGTAGTGAAAGACCACAACTCTTTCAAGAAACAACTGCAGCTACTTGAAACTGAGCTGGAACAACTGAAGAAGATCAGACATCAAAATGTACTTGAACTTCTAGATTTCAAGGTTCATCGGACCATTGATGAAGATGCAGAGTCCGACTCGTCATGGACCGTTAACATCTTGAGCGAGTTTGCTGAGAAAGGTTCGCTGGAAGAGTTTCTTGACATTGCTGGGAGTCTTGACGTGAGCAAAGTCCGCTCGTGGACAATAGAGCTCCTTGATGCGTTACGCTACATTCACGGTCACGGCATCACCCATGAGGATATACACTGTGGCAATGTCCTTCTAGTGAGAGAGCCAACGGGAGAAGTTAGGCCAAAGCTGGCTGATGCTGGCTATGAAATGAAGCTGCATCGTCTCTGTAGCAAGAGAAGACAACCAGCAGATACAATATCGGTAGCCAAGTCCGCCTACTGGCTTCCACCCGAAATCGCAAACACAGAACAGCCGCAGTACACCCCAAAGACGGACATTTGGGATTTCGGGATTCTATTTTTACAGATGATGTTTGGCTTGACGGTCATTCAAAAATATGCTTCCCCCATGATTCTGGCAGACTCATTATCATTGTCTAGTTCTCTGGATGAGCTTGTGCATAAGCTGTTCAAACCGGATCCAAAGAAACGCCCTCGTGCGTTTGAATTGAGCTCTTCCGAATTTCTAGCCACAGATGCGCCCATACTTGATGAAGAGATATCTGCTGCGGGGTCGACGATGGGATCTATAACGTCAACGATGCCTGTAACTCCACATCGACAGAGGCATGACTCTATGAATGCTGGTGGTCCTTTCTCTAGGTACAAAGAGGACTTCGTAGAGGAAGGTCGTCTTGGCAAAGGTGGTTTCGGTGAAGTGGTAAAAGCAAGGAAGAAGCTCGATGGGCGAATCTACGCTATCAAGAAGATCACTCAAAAGTCATCATCGTCACTGACTGAGGTCTTGAAAGAGGTTCGTCTCCTGTCACAACTCAGCCATCCTTACGTTGTCCGTAAGTATTCTTTCTTTGGTCCCTTATTTCTCTACTTTCTGTTGAAAACTGCCTGTCATATCTGGTGGGCGTGTCACACAAATTTGTTTACTGGATCTCCCTGGTAAATAGCACTTACACTTGACAAGGTTGAGAAGAACCATTTGACGCGCTTTTATTGCCTATCCTATAGCTGTCTGGGGTTCTGTCTTGCGCTTCAACGCAATAGCCGTGTTTTAGATGTTCTTCCAAAAGCCCATTTAGACTAACAATATTAATTTTCAAGGGTATTATAACACCTGGACCGAAGAGGTACTAGATGTATCTGGAACCGACGACGATCTCGCGACTACGGACACAGCAACATCCGGAGGTTCTGTCAGAGATGTATCCCCGGCAGACGGGCCGGAGATTGAATTTGGGACTAGTACTGGTGGCCTAGATTTTATGTCCTCCAGTGGATATCCACAGATTGAATTTGGCTACGATGATGATTCAGAATCAGAAGCTGATGATGAGGAAGATGACGATTCCACGAGCCATGGAGACCGAAACATCAATGCAGGAAATGGACGCAATAAATTAGTCTTGAAGCGTACCCGTTCCAGCTCACGCTTTCAGCGACCTTTCAAAACCATTCTATATATCTCTATGGAATACTGCGAGAAACGAACACTTCGCGACCTAATCAAAAGAGGTCTCTACAAGGACAATGATGAAATTTGGCGTCTATTTCGGCAGGTTCTGGAAGGGTTAGCTCATATCCATAGCTTGAACGTTGTCCACCGCGATCTCAAACCGGAGAACGTATTCATCGACGCTGCGTCAAACGTTCGTATCGGGGATTTTGGATTAGCAACGAGTGGACACTACAACGTTAACGAAAAGGCATCTTCCACTGCTATGCTTATCGGTGGTGATATGACCAGAAGCATTGGCACAGCCTTTTACGTGGCCCCTGAGGTCCGTTCGTCGGTTGGGGGCACCTACACTAGTAAGGTGGACATGTACTCCCTTGGTATCATATTCTTCGAGATGTGTTACCGACCAATCGTGGGTATGGAACGAGCCCAAGTCGTTGAAAGACTGAGACAAAAGCAGCCTGCTCTACCATCAGATTTTGACGTCAGGGAAAAGCATGTACAAGCAGAGATCATCCTGTCACTTCTCAACCACAACCCAAAAGATAGGCCAGCGAGCTCCGAATTATTACAAAGCGGAAAACTGCCAGTACAAATGGAAAGCGAAACGATCCGTCAAGCATTAGCTGGACTTTCAGATCCCAAATCTCCCTATTATCACAAGATGATGAGCGCCTTGTTCTCACAGCCTATAAAACAAGCCAAAGACTTCGCCTGGGATATGGGCACTGCTAACCACAGTGCTAACGATCTCCTGCTACAAGGTCTTGTCAAACAAAAGTTAATTGGCATTTTTCGCCATCATGGAGCGGTAGAGACACCACGCAGTGTCTTATTCCCACGTTCAGGACACTATGGGCCCAATGCTGTTCAATTATTGGACTCTAATGGAACTTTGGTCCAATTACCATATGATCTCACTTTGCCATATGCCCGAGCGATTGCAAAGCATGAACCAGCTGCGCAACGATCCTTCGCTTTTGGCCCTGTCTTTCGTGATAGACAATCTGGCGGTCAACCTCAAACTTTCGGAGAAGTTGACTTCGATATTGTATCCATTGACAGTCTCGATTTGGCATTGAAAGAGGCGGAAGTGATCAAGGTGCTGGACGAAATTGTTTGCAGTTTCCCATCTCTTCCAGCAACACAAATGTGCTTTCACATAAATCACAGTGATCTTCTTAGCCTCATATTCGATTTTTGCCGAATAGAGACTGGTGTTCGCCAGCTTGTCTCGGATACTTTGAGCAAACTCAATGTCCAACAGTGGACATGGCAGAAAATTAGGACTGAGCTTAGATCACCACTCATTGGAGTATCGGCTACAAGTGTTGATGACTTACAACGCTTTGATTTCCGAGGTACGTATTGTCAAGCATCGATCTCCAGTCTGTTATTGAAAGCCTTTGTAAAAACTGCTCTAGATGGGCAGTGAAACCTTTGTCGGAATCCAACCCCGCTATACTCAACAGATAATTTTGATGATCAGAAAGAATTTAAATATTAACATGCTGGATGATTTACTAATGACTGATCTTGATAGACACGCCCGCCAGAGCTATTCAAAAGCTCAAGACTATTTTCGAAGGCACAGATATATTCGACAGAGCTTCCTCTGCAATTGCTCATCTGAAGGATGTCATTGTGTATACCAAGCGTTTTGATGTCAGAAGCAAGATCTATCTGAATCCTCTGGGGAGTTTGAAGGAAAAGTTTTGCAAGGGAGGTATAATATTCTCCTGTCTGTACGACCGAAAGGTACGAGATGTATTTGCTGCTGGTGGACGCTATGATTCTCTCATTCGAGAACATCGGCACAGAATTGGCGGTGAAGAACGTCACGCCGTCGGGTTCAACTTGGCATGGGAAAAGATGGCAAGGCTTCCAAAGGCTGGCGCCAAGGGATTTCTCAAGAAGCCAGAAGAGGATCTGCAAGGTATCTGGAACACAAAACGGGTGCGTAAAAACTCTCCTTTATTATTCTCTGGAATTTCGAAGGCAGTTTGAAAATTTCCTCCACAAGAGGCTAGCTTGATGGACCTCTTCGAGCCCTGACTATGGGGCATCTCCGTGGTTGAGCGTCGCGGATTCTTTCCGAAGATGCCTGCTAACATACCGAGATCATTCATCTAAACTCACTCTTTCTAATATATGAGCTAACTTTTAGATTAGTGTGATGTGCTTGTTGCCAGTCATGACCCAGCAATTTTACGTACAACGGGTGTTGATATTGTTCAACAGCTATGGGCCCATGATATAAGTGCAGAACTAGCACAGGATTCACGCTCCTCCGAAGACTTGCTTTCCAAATACCGAGGAGATAATCACTCTTGGATTATAATAATCAAGCAGGATGCTATTATAAAAATCAAGAGTATGGATAGGAAAGATGTCCCGGATGCCGACATTCCATCGACCCAGCTCTTGGCCTGGCTGAGGAGCGAGATCCGAGAGAAGGAGCAGAGAGATGGTACAAATCAGCGAGCAAAGCTGCAGCGCCTTTCAACTCAACCTGAAACTAGCGGTCTGAGTGACCATGAACAAGATGTTCGTGTTCTTGTGGCTGGGACGAAGAGCAAGAAGTCCAATAGACGCAACATCGTTGAGCAGGCACAAGGAAGAACAATGGCCCTAGTGCAATCCTTCCTGGATGGACCAATTGCTGCTATTGAGACTACTGATCCAGTTATGGACATGATCCGTGAAACGAGGCTATCTGATGCTGAGAGTTGGAGAAGAGTGACACATGCGGTCCCAACGACGGAGCGACGCTACATAGGGGAGATCCATGATTTGATGAGCACCCTGGCACAGCAGAATAAAGGCATTACCAGGAATGCCTTCATCTATAATTTCAGAACCGGGTCATGCATATATTACGACCTTGGAGCTTGAGAGAGGAATCCGGGGAGGGGGGGTTATACAGCAGTAGTTTGTTGTTGCGGAATTGCAGATACCCTGAGCGCTTATACAATAAATTCAATTCAGGAAATTGTATAGGAGTCAAACCTATATTGTGAGACGCTTCTGACTGTAGAATACCCTTCATGTCTGGTATACAGAGAAGTAAGTGTACGCCGTAATGAGCTCTCGACCCTCTCCATGCTACAAGACGTGGGCCGAATAATACAGGGGAGTATATGCAGTACTATCGTCTAGCGCGGCTATTACCCCGTACCTTGCATTCTCCTATCTACCTAGGTACTTCGTACGGGGTAAGAGGTATATCTTCCGGGATTTCGCTCCGATCGAAATTCTCTATCAATGCGACAATAGCATGCTGTACCGATGAGCAAAGAAGTCGACCCGTCACGGTCGCAGACAATCCGTGCTGAAATTGCCGAGCTTGAGCGACGTCTCCAAGATGCCAAAGCCCGTCTGAATGCTCAGATTATCTCTGAGCAGCCCACCTTGGCCCCGCCGGCGCGAGTGTTGATGAGCACTGGTAATTAGCCAACTTCTCCTATGTCTCCATATCCTTCTGACTCGGATCAGGTCCTTTTGGTTCGTCACCGCACCATTTCCTCTTCCTGCTAGCAGATTCCGCTCTCCCCTTGGGCTCTTTTGCCTTTAGCAGTGGCCTCGAGTCCTATCTGGCACATTCCCGCCCTGCTTCCTCCTTCCCCACCTTTCTAAAACTCTCGCTGTCCTCATATGCTTCGACGACCCTGCCGTTCGTACTTGAGGCCTTTCGAAATCCGCTCGACCTCGTGGAGCTCGACGATACCCTAGATGCCGCGATCATATGTACTGTCGGTCGCCGCGCATCTGTTGCACAGGGCCGGGCCCTGCTGTCGATATGGGATCGATCATTTAGCTCTTCAATACCTGCAGGTGCCTCTCAAACTGCTGTGGATGCATTGAGGGCATTCTCAGTCCTTCTCCGCTCTTCTTCTTCAGCTAGTTCAGACGAACTCCCTCCCGTATCCGCTCATCTAGGACCCCTGTTTGGCGTCATTGCTCGTGTGGTGGGAATAAGCTTGCAGCAGACTGCGTACATGTTCATTTTGAGCCATGTGAAAGCCCTGCTATCCGCAGCTGTGCGAGCGAGTATTTTCGGCCCGTATCATGCACAAAAGGTGCTGGCCAGTAATGAAACGCAGCGTGGCATTTGGGAAGTCCTCCATCGTGAGTGGAACACAAAGATAGAGGACGCTGGACAGAGCGTGCCGATGATGGATCTATGGGTTGGAAGGCATGAGATGCTTTACTCGAGGATCTTCAATAGTTGAAAGAATCCGCAAGCAACCAGCTGTGTGTTCTCCAGTAACCAATCGTGGGCGATTGTGGGTAATGATTCTCAATATCTTTATGGACGGACCTACCTGGCTATCTTGGTATGGGGAACCTCGAATTCAGTCAAAGAGTCCAGCACAATTTCACAAAAGGAACTACCGGGTAATAGTAGACAGCGAACATTTACAAACCATCCGAATAATGTGGCATTTGAGCTACCTCACTGAATCTGGTTGTTGTAGCGCCAGTCCTTCCCAACTCCTCAACGCCAATACGCTGATAGGCCGTTTAATCGCTATCACTATCATAAGCCACCAATGGTCCCGAAGGGGCTGCTGCTTTTCGTTTTGAGGTGAATGCCCCTTGTGCACCTTGCAATGCCGCAAGTGTGTTGCTCGAGAATATACCACTTTCCTCTGTCTCAGTCTTCTCCGTCTGGTCCGCCTCGATCATCAACCTCTGCTCCTCTTCAAGTTCCAAACCCTGCCTGCCGATGGGGTTGACTGCGTTCGCGCCCCTTGCAAAGTATACATCATCAGGAGCCTCGTACCCTTCCAAGCCGAAACCGCCCTCTATCTTTTTCCGTTTCCGAGCTTCTGGATCACGGCCTTCAATCTCAGCTACAAACTCGGCGGGCAAGGCTCTTCGCACAGCTTCTGCCGCCTGCTCTTCAATCCTCTGTGCCTCTCGTGCTTGAGCCATTGGATTTGGATCCGCGGTGGCCCACCGGACGTTCAGAATCTCGTTATGATCTAATGACTGATGCGCCATTGCCTCCTTTGCGAACTGTGCGTTTGCCTCATTCGAATACGTAATGAACGCGACACCTCGAGTATTGAGAACACGTACTGTACACAAGTTAGCTCCAGACTCCATGATTATGACATGAGATGAAGAGGACTTACTTCGCTCAACTTGGCCCCATTCCGCAAAATGCCTTGCGACCACTTCTTCGATATCATCGCTAACATGTATCCTGCCAACGTAGATTGTTCGGTTCTGCCTCATGAAACTTCCAACACCTCCCATGTCATCTCGATAATCAGAGTGTTTGTCCCTTCCAAAGACATCGACGTTCGGGTTGAACATGTCATGAATACCCGGTAATCTGTGCAAATACTCGCATTCTTGGCCTCGCGGGCATAATCCCCGCGCAAAGAATAGGCAGAAGTAACTTCCAGGGACTTTGTCGGCTTTGGTGTATCCACTGTCCTTCGCGATATTACAGCGCCCCTTGGCAGCTGTCTTTGACAAATACTTGTCTTCGCGATCGCCACCAGACCACTTATTGTACCAGATATTGAAGATTGTACCTGTCTGAGGAGGAGGTTCGGATTTCATAGTCGAGGGGTCGACTTGCGGTCGCGCGGGACGCTTCTTCTTGCGAATGATTTTCTTGACCTTTCTCTCTGCAGGCGCCGCGACCTCGTTACTCGTTGTTGTGAGCGCTGTAGAAGTCTCCTCTGCCTCCGTCTCTTGCGCCATGACTGGAGGTGTAGCTGTCTCGACGTCGGCCATTCTGAAGGTTGTCGCGGTTGCTTGTTGCTTGTTGCTCTCGACGAGAACTCAAGGCAAGGAAGCTTAAGGCTGAGAATTATTTAGAGGGACCCGCGCCACATCTAAAGCGGCACCGCCACAACATATTAACTCGAGAAATATCAGCCCACGTCACTTGTCAAGTTGTTCTTAAACATTTATTGATGGCTGTTGTCTCGACAATTCGATCCCATGATGTTCAATAGTTGCGGATTACACTGAGAGTTTGAAAGCCGTATCCAAGCATTCCATTCGTGGTACCAAGGAGTAACTGCGCTCGCTCGAGAGACTGAGAAATTCGTCACACATATTCCTCAATCCCCTCCATCGTCCATTAAGAATTTCTACATAAGTTCCCACCGTTTTACATAGGAGCAGTTCTCCATAAGTTCTCCAAATAATTAGCAATATCTCAAGACTCTCCCATGTTCATCTGCTCAACGCCTTCTCTTTCCGCTGATATTTCCTTATTCCTATGGTCAAAAAATTGGATCAGCAAATGCTTCAGTTTCGCTAGCCCGAACTCAGCACATATACTATGTTTTTTTATTCCCTCATGAGACCTCCATCTTTCTGTGGTGCTTCTAGGATCTCGAACCGGCCTTACCCTCAGATACCCCTATTCCCTCGTTGCCCAGCATCACGTTCGGGGAATCGCAAGATACTTACTTAGTGTGTATCTGCGACGACCGATATGGCCCTTGAATCCCGACTCCCCAAATCCAATTGGACTTGAATCCCACATCCTCGTACATGTTCTTGCCTTGCCGGGCCACATTCCTTCAATCTTGGCTACAGTCCGGAGTGCGATTGATGTGCGGGAAGCCTTACAAGTGGAGTTTCTCGATGATGTATTCGGGCAGAAACAGGCCAAGAAGCAATATAGGACAGAGGATGATGATGAGGGCAAGGTCCTTGGGGGTCATGGATTTCCACATGTCTCTGAATCTTTGTGGATGCGTGGTGTTCGAATATGGATTTTGCGAGGGTTTCCAGAAGTCGAGAAAGGGTTGGGCAGATGTGTAGCTCCCAAGTCGCCAGTTCCCAGGACTGTATATTGCAGGCTACGTGGCAGATGCGAGGTAAGATGTAGCAATCCGTATTATTCGATGGTAAAGGATTCATGCATCGGACAAAGCATGCAGACCAGGAGGGTGAGGGCTTTATGCATACACAGTGACCCGCATGTCACGGAGAGCACTCCGAGGAACTTATCGTCTAGAACTCCAGCGCCCGAGATGTTCGCGCTCTCATATGACCCCAGGGTTGCTCCGCCCCAGCGTGGGATTGGCGCAGCAAGCGAAGCCGTGTCTTGAGACCAGCCTTCTCTAAGACATGGGTGCCAGAAAAGGGGAATCTCTCACCGGGGAATTCCCTACTACTCCATTATCGCAAAACGGATTCTCTGCTCGAGAACCAACAGTTTGTGTTTTCAGATAATCCCTGCTGCGATTTCTATTATTGGTCGCGAAGCCAGACTACAGGAGGATCCGGAATCCTGACATGCATACCGTTCTATCGAAAGAGTTATTCTCATTATGGTGCCTGTCTTGCTGTCTGGCCCTTCACTGACATACGATCTCTGTTCTTTGAGCCTTACTCTTATGAATGCAAGCTTTTGTCGTCGCTGCCCTTTCGTCGACCATCGGGGAGTAGATACTCAATCACGACAGCCGCAAGTCAGCGCGCACAGTATTCGCATGGAACATTCACATTCTGGACCAAGTTATCAAGGAATCAAATTCAACACCGTTGACATGCCTTTCTTGTGACTACCAGTTGAACCAACCCTTGTCCTTACCAGCATCTTCACCTGATGTGCCGCTTCCTGCAGCCCCAACATCAACATTAGCCGATATTACTATCACAGAGCTCACTTGCATACTGAGAGAACTCGCTGATGTTACCAAAAGTTTATTTGCGGGCAAGAAGCGATCGTTGTTGTATCTTCCATGCCTGAACGTGCAAGAATACTGATCTATTAGATTTAGAGGTTGCGGGAAGGAAAGACGGGAAGGCACACCCTGCCCGATACCGAAGCCGGGGCCGTGGCCGTGGCGGTTGTAGTACAAGGCTTCGACACTTATTTCTTAGGCTTGACGAAGATGCCGCTTAGTGAGGCGTTGAGTGCGATCTGCATGTCATTTGCGAACACTATGCCTATGCAAATTATATGCAACAGGTATTGATGGCATATTTACAATTCAGATTGCAAAGAGCTGTACTTGGGAACTATGAAATCTTTTGGATTTGGTACGAGTTTAAGCCGGTAAAGGCTGTGGCGGTGAAAGGAACGCCTTGAAAAGGTCAAGTGTTATTCCTATGTCAACCGCCATGAAAACAAACGTCCAGAAAACTTCATGCACATGCGCAAAAGATGGAAGAAAGGATTCAAGAGAGGGAGTGATCATCCCACAGGGATTCTGCCGAATATAACCACTCAAGGGATGCAATCCCCAATTTATTCTTTTGCGCTGATAGGTAGCAGGCCAACAAAGCATGCGAGATTCAAACTCGTATGCAAACAGCTAGGATGAGCTTGAACGGCTCAACATCGCCGTCGGTTTATCAAAGGTAAACTTCAGACCTGGGGTCCCGCCGCTTGAGGCTTGCTATCCAATTTTCTCGTGGTTCAAGTTGGACTCATGTAAACAGTGTAGCTCGTTCCTCACCATGTCCTTGAACAGCCTTCCGAAGCCCCAGGGCAAGTCAGTCAACAGAGGGTCACCATCTTCTCCTTTAACCGATTATCATTGCCATCCTAAATCGCTCTAGATACCAAAACCGAACGCCTTTAGGGTCGCTTTCCTGCAATCAGGGCTTAAAGTGACGACTTTCTTGCGAAGCCCAGTACCACCTCGTCGAAGAAGAGGTCACACCGAAGCGTGCCTGTCACTTCACAATCTATTTTTGTCACAGTAAAATTAAATTGATTATCGACCAACTGCAACATCTATTTTGGAGAGCCTCTAGTGTAAAACCGCTACCATGCATTAGAGGCACCACAATCCGAGTATATGCAACCGACCGCCAGAGAGCACCAAAGGTATACGAGAAATATATCAAGTCCCCTCTTGTTGAATCCACAACAACCGACATCAACCACAGAAGATTTGGATTCTCTAGTTCCGGCCCTCTCTCCTTCGGTTTTAGCCTTAGCACGGAATCGACGTTCGGACAGATGAATCTCTTGGCGTTTTGGGTTGTGTTATAAATTCCCAGCAGACAGCAAACCTTTCGCAAAGCACCGTCTGAGCTCCGATTCGGGGGTCTGTATCATATAACGAGGAAGCAGCTCCATTTGCTGAGCGTGCGGCGCAATGGGTGAAAGAAGCGTTAGCGGGGGCGGGTCAGACTTTGGGTTAGTTCCCGACGGGTCGCTCCCGAGTCCCGACTTCCCCGAGACCATAACCGAGCCGCTTAGCAGGGACGTCTTCCCAACCCGTGCTTCTTCACCAAGCTTATCGTATCGCGACCAGCAAAATGATTGGTTTTTGAGCATACTGTCCTGCTCCAGATCGTCCATGCAAAGCGATGCACTTGATCGCCGTACGCGAGCAAATCAAACCTTCCAGCTAATCGCCACGCCTTGGATGTAACACACCCATCTACCTGTCTGAAATCTGGACCATCAGCCTCCGAAACCCCTCACTCAGCATCAACCTATTAACACCGCGCGTCACTCCGTGCTCACAGATGTCCGTTCCCTATGGATCCACTATCTACAAGCATCTTAAACGTCGGGCTCGTAAGCGACCACTACTAGATCCACATCAGACCCCCTCAGGTAGCGTGAATTCTTCTCTGTAATTACAAATATATTAATGTTAGATAGTGTTACGTTACGGAGACGAAGCTTCCGAATACAATCAGGGCAGCGCTCAGTCAGGATCTTATTACGAATCTCAAGGTCCTCTCGCTCAAAGCCCTCTTGAGCAACGACCAGCGGATCCACAGACTTCACAAGATGATGGAGCGACCTCATATGCCCGTTCGTAGAGATATCGACCCGGTGTCTCCAAGAATACAGTTTCAAGGTTAGTTACGGTTATTGTTTTCGACGGGCAGCGTGTTAATATAATATACTAGAAGATCTTGGTCTACAAACCCATAACAACCACTCAGAAATGAAGGCTTGACAGAACTATCCGATAAGCGCTAAAAGTCCTCTAGAACGTGCCGCCCATCTAACGAAGAAATATTTGAATGCGTTCCATGAAAGCACAGAAAAGGCTACGCAATCGTCTTCTTCAGCGACAACTACTGGTAAGGTTTTTGGACCACAATGCTATTGTCAACCGATGTCAAAGTCATTAGACTCTGAGACCATGCCAGCCCGATCAAAACAAACCACTTCCACGATTGACTCGGGCTTTCTGGACATCGCTTTTTTCAAAATGGAGTTCTAGATCCAAACTGCTCGAAGCCTCCTGCCAATCTTGGAGCAGTCAAGGGACAAGCTAAAGGAGAAGTGATTAGCAAATCATCGACCTCCTGTCTCTCCAAACGTACTGAGACTGCCAACTCCACAGATTATAATAGTGACGATTATGACTGCAGAGAGGGCCCAACTAATCAATTACTCAGGGGATACTGGGGTCACTCGACAAACAATGGAGATAATCCATCTGTTCAAAGTACCCCTGCGCACAGTGTGTACGCTCCGCCGTGTGCGAATTTCCCGGCAAACGGATACCTTTATATAAATACCTGCTGCGGACAATGAATAAGCTTTGTCCCATGCTCTGGCATCCTCTATAATAACTCCACCGCAATCATCAAGGGCATTTTGCTTCCACTTGGGCCGAGTGGGGATATCGATCAGTCTAACGTAGGTGGCCATAGGAGGACACGCCAGACACGGACGCGAGCTGTTGGTACTGGCGAAGAGCTGAGAGGGGTTGATCATAAGTATGATGACCAAAAGAGTCGCAGGAAATAATTGGTTTAAGCTCTTTGCCTGCCATTTTACGATTGGAGGGATTTTCTAAGTATCAGCTTGCCACCGTCCATTCTTACCTTACAATTCCTGATACATCTTTCATCCTGCTGATTGCGCCTCTTCCCGCCACTTGTCAAAACCGTTGCTGACCTGCAATCCCGATGCTCTTCTATGTGCATTTCAGTTCCTGCAAATTTCTCTTGTTCCCCGTCGAGCTCATCATAGAACTGCCCCTGAGCGACTAATTGATCATCACCCGTCTACTATCAGCACAATTGTCAGCTTGTGTGCCTCAATATTGCTCAGAGGGCGGAGCATCTAGATGTTACGATTTGATGCTAGTGCGTATAATTTCTATTATTGGCTCTTACATCGTCCCGGCCTATGGCCATGCGGAATTTCTAAATTTCTACTCTTAAGTAGTCCTCAGGAAAAATGTATATACAGAGAAAAAACCTGAGTTCCACCTATCCTGCTAGTGCATATTATGGAGCGGATAACACATTCTTCCTGTGGACCGTGGTAGAGTTATCATTTCTTGTTTAAGACAAAAACATTTCCATGTGCCACTTTTGTTTTATTTTGTTACACCCATACAGCTTCAAGACGTATAGGGGAGGTTTCGAAGCAGAGATCATCCCAGTACGAGATACCAGAATATTCGGTCTCATTCCGGCATTCTTAGTTTCAATACACACTGTACAGTCAGTGCAAAGTCTCACGACAATCACCACTTCCCCAGATTCCCTTCCTTCAACCTTTTATGCAATTGCGACTTCCTAAAAACCCATTCCTTCTCCTTTCCTAATCCCTCATCCCTCTCCTCGTACAACCACCCATCATAGTTGGCTTTGTTTTCATGGGGGGATCTCATGAGAGTCCTTTGTTAGTTCTTATACTATCGCAGTCTGTGGCAGTTTCGGAAGAAAGGCTCAAACCATGGTTGTCATCGTATAGCAGCACTGAACTCCAAACCTGGGGGCTAGGTGAGCAGGGGTGAGCAGTGAACGACACAATAAAGGCGGCTGAGGATGGGTGAGGGTGAACAAGGTGCATAAGTCACGTGCGCGACGCACTCAGAGGAGGTGAGGATTGATGTGTGGAATAACAGTGAAAGGAAATTATCATATATTAAAGAAAGGAGAAATGTCTCCTTCCCTCTCACCTCTCCCCCTCTCAACCCCAAAATGAATCCTAAAGAAGCAAGGAACTCAAAGCAAGCCGATGAGAATTGAAACCCCCCCCCCACCCCAAACGGGCGAAAGAATACCCCACCTCAACTTATTACTTCACTGCTTGTTACTTACCTTAGTTTTGAACATAAATAATATAATAGTACTCTATATTTAGATGCTGTATAGAGTAGCTACGGTATCTGCTTTAAGGGAATAGATAAAGCTATTAACTAGTATGATTGAAGACGACGGGACCACCCCTCTGCTTTTGCCTTACTTCTTTGATTTTCTAGTCTGTACAATTGTTAGTGATGACTAGGTAGGTAGCTAGATAAATAGCTAAGACGTCTTTCCTTATTATCGTCAATCAATCAATCAATCAATACCTCATTCCCTCACTCCCTAGATCGCACTCCTCGCAATCCAATACACCAGTAGCCGGGTGGATCCCCTAGCGCACATCTCAGCCCTACCTCCTCACTAACAACCCCGCCGCCCCTCCAAGAAAAAAATGAGGATAAAAAAAAAGTTTTCCTAGGGGGGGAAAACGACTTAAGTATCCTAACAACAGAAAAAGTTCTCATCGAACAAAGCAAACAAAACAAGCCCGCGTAGCTCAATCGGTAGAGCGTCAGACTCTTACTTAAGAATCTCTTCAGTATTATATATCTGAAGGCTGCGGGTTCGACCCCCGCCGTGGGCTCAATTCCCACCGGCTTGCTTTGAAAAATTTTTTATTTCTTATTTTTTTGGACTCTTTTATAGGGAGAAGGGGGGGGGGGGGGGGGGTTTTTTTTTTTTTTTTTTTCCTTTTT